ACAGTATCCCTCGCAAAAGCGCACCAGCAAAGTAATGCGTTTTTTTCGTTTAGTGTTCACTTCATACTAGTTGCCCCCCTTCAGCTAGCTTTTGGCAATGAGCCAGTTTGGAATCTAGTTTTTTTGTCGATCATTTTAACAGAAAAGAAATGTTCTTCATCAGCCTCGTGATTACACACTGCAATTAATGTAAGGTAGCTACAGTATAACTACTCCCTCGTATCCCTCGTAATGTAAGAAGCCCAGCTACAGTATAGCTACAGTAAGCCGCTCAAATGCGCAATAGCAGGGTAATGCTCGTCACCTCATTTCGTGTTCACTTCAACTACTAGTTGACCCCCCCCCCCCCACCCTTCTTAGCTTTTGGCAGTGAGCCAGTTTAGTACAGCTGGTTTTTCTTGACATTTTCGTCGATAAAAGAGATTATTAGAGTCAGCCTCGTGGCTAGCATTGCAACTGCTAGAGCGTAGCTACAGTATAGCTACAGTAACCCGTGCAAATGAGCAATAGCAGCATGTGTTTGTTCGCTTCATTTCGTGTTCACTTACTATTAATTCTCTTCCCCCCCCCCCTTCAGCTAGCTCTTGGCAATGAGCCAGTTTATGATTGCTTTTTTTCATTTTAATAAAGGAGAAATTGTTGCACTTGATCGATCTCGTTTTGCTAAATTCATTGACTTACAGTATCCCTAGCAAAAATTCTTTTTAATAGCATTTGATATTTACTTTCATGCTAATATTCCATTTTTAAATTATACATTCTTAAACTTTTTGTCTACGCGTAGGTTGAAGAAGATCAAAGGATTTTGTTGTATGCGTACTACATACACCTACGGAAAGCTGCAGCGTAGCTACAGTAAAGCTACAGTATCCCTCTAACATTCATTTACGAACACTTGAGCAAATATATTCTTTGCTACCGAGTATGATGAAGTTCAAAGGGTCATTTTGTTGCAAGCGCATTATAACTAACGATGGACAGAGCTACAGTATAGCTACAGTATCCCTCGCAAAGTTCCCATTTTCGAATCTATTCTTTTGTAGCAACTATGGTGGACAAAGTTCAAGAGACTCTATTTTCATGATGAAGGTGTTTTCTTCTGCATTGGTTCCCAAATGCCTTTCATTTATATCTCTTCAAAAAGAAATTCACACATAATAAATCACTTTTAAAATAGAGAAACCGGAAATTTTATGACAGCGCGAGCTGAATACGAAGGGTCACATAGTTTGAGTCCCAAGCAAATTTATTAAAATAACATCTACAAAACCGGGCGGGGGATGCGCACTTACAGACTTTTCTTTTTCATGGGAATTTTGTCTATTTTTTTGTATTTATTATCCTGAAAAGCTCAAATCAACCCCTAATATTTCAAAAACTAGTTGAATCCGGTTTTAAAGGTCATTTGCGATTATCTGCCATTTAAGATAGCTGTAACTCTCGATAATGATCATTTTACAGAAAAAACCATTTTTTGCAAAAAAGAAGACTGACGTTTTCAACATTTGCTGCAATTAGAAAAAAAATGTGCATAAAAAATTCAAATTGTACTTTTGGTACTATTTATTTAGTATCTATACACTCAAATAAAGAAAATATTCTGACATAAAAATTTCTATTCATGTGGCTACGGGTTTTTTGTGTAAAAATAATTATTAGTGGTGATCTACATTTTCCAGCCAAAGCCTAATAAATGTTTCCTTTTGATGACATTATCTCAAAATTTCTTTTATTATGTCAATACTTTGCCTTTCTTCTTTGTGTTACTGATGACCTCAAAAAGAAGAAACTTTCAAAAAATCTAACATGAATCAAAAATTATCATCAGGACTATTTCTTTCAATTTCTATAAAAAAAACAATTTTGATGGACATTTTCGTCTGAATTCTTCTCACCAACCTGGTACGAGACGATCGTTAGAGACTAGACTCCGCTGGACTTTAACAGTAACAAAAAGCCAAGAGGTCAAGATTCCTCACATTTTCCCACCATAACCTCTAACCCCGAACACCTGCGGATTACCACATCTCACCTTTTATGGATTTTCTTCAGCTCATACATCATTTCTGTACTAAACAGATGTACTAATCCTTGTCGACACGTTGTCGATCAAGTAGCCATTAAGTACATCGTAGTGACTCGCTCCGCTCTTGAGCTGTCGTAACATACTGCGCACAGTAACAAGGCCACTCCCCCGCCCCCGTCGAACCCTGTCGACGGGGACGGGAGCGATCACTCCCCCTTGTCGACTTGTCCTTCCCCGGATCGCGAACTTAATTAATCACTTGCGTCGATAGGTGTTTTCAACACTTTGCTGATTGCATCTTTGGAAAGTTTTTATTGCGCAGAAACTTTAGCGTTTATAGCCATTCCATTCATGCCAACTTGGGCTAAGTGAGACCGGTAATTTCTCATTCCACAGTTTCGCTTATTTTCACATTCTTTTCCATGTTTAATATTTATTGCCGGTTTGGAATCTAATTTCTTTCAGTTGCTGCCATTATGAACTTACTCTAGAATTTTCAAAAAAGGAATTTCTGTCAGGAATATGTTTGTCCTTTTTCTTTTTCTGTTTTGTTTTCTTCCTTTCTGACTTTAATAGTTCGCCTTAAATTGCACTTATTTCTGGAATTGTTGATATATAGAGTCTGGGACCGTTTAGATAAGAAATGAATGAGACGTCAATTTATCCAGTAATTACATATAGTTTCCTCGAAGTAAACTTTCACATAATTTTTTTAGGGTTTCTAGTTCCGAAATGCGGTTGATTCATTCCACACGGTTTATCTGAGTGAATATGTTTACAAAATATCATTTTCTTGATCCCAAGTAAATAAGCTCATATATTATAATACTTTTTCCTGTGTTTGTAACTTTTAATTTTTTTCTATGCCTAAATTTTCCTAGAACATTCATTTTAAACTCTGAAACTTCTCAGTTTTTTTCCGTCAAAGGTTTTTAAAAACCAAGCAAAGGTCAGACTTGTTACTATTTATATTGCTATCTAGAATTTCACGCCTGGCGGACAGCTGTCATAGCCACTCACACTCATAACTTTATTTTGAGGTTCCGGTAAGTTGTTTGTCCTGGTCACAGCTCGCTAAATGCTTTTTATTGTAGAACCTATCAATCGTTTACGTACTTGATTCTTTATTATAGAGCTAATTTCCTATGAGTTTTGCAAGTGTTGGAAAGAAAGTAAGGCATAAAAATATTAATTAGATAACTGGATTGCTAAGAAAGTCGAAATTTTGCAGCATATTGTTCATATAAACTACTGAAAACTTTGGAAAAAACTGAGGTCTAATTCCCTAATTCCTAATTTCATTCCTAGAAACTCGCAATTATTTTCCTGAAGAATAGATCAATCTCAGTGGCTGTGAACTGTCAAGTTACATGTAAATTTGCGTCATAAAGTTTCTAAGGGTGATTTAAGATTATAAGAACAGAAACTGTAAATTGAGTTTTATTAGAAATGGGCTTCTTAGACTCCAGTCTCCTTTTTTTAAACAATGTTACTTCCAAAACAATTGCTTAAAGTTCAAAATATGATAATAATGGCAGAAACAAATCATATGAACGATGGTAATATTAATTGAAATTAAGATAGTAATAATGACAATAATAACAAAAATGAACGTTTTGATTTTTTGTGGAACGGACATTTAAATTTTTACGACAAGTTGTTAAGCAAATTAAAAAAATTTCACTATTAAAAAAATTGCTTCCAAAGCTTCTTATCGCCTTTGTAGTCATAATTCCGTCTTTCCGAAAATAAAGACCACTGCCAAAAGGAGCCTCATCACTCCTTCTAATTGATGACAAACTTTTCGATACCCCGCTCTTCAACACCCCCGGGGTTTTCGCCACTCAATCGCAGAAGATATGAGCACTTCTAGAGACTGAAGTCATGTCATTTCTGAAGGAACGAACGGGGAGGGGGTGGGGGCATGTCGGCTCGGCGAACTCTGCTGGATACTCTGGGGGTGCATGAGAAACGAGCCCTCTCCCTAATTATCACTCAATTGCTGTCCACTGTCGGTGTGCCTTTCAGGGGGTGGCCTGGTTTTTTTTCCTCGAGCTCATATTCCATAGGCTGTGGATCATTTTATAATCCTGAACAGCTGCAAATTTACCGTAAAAAATAGCAGATTTTCCAGATGATTGTTCTGTCTCCACCCCTTTGCTTCCATCCCGCCCCTTTTCCCGTCAAAATTACTTATTTTCCAAGATGAACTGAAATTTATTTGGTCTGAGTTGACTTAAGTGTTTCTCTTATTACAAGTAATTATTAGAGTATTTAAAAATCTAATCTTGCCTCAATAACGATTTTTAGTTCCCTCTCCGCCCCTTTTCTCCTACCAAAATTATTCTTGTTACTTTTGCTTTTGCTTTTGAAATTCAGTCTGGACAATTTTAAGATGTTTTTTCAATTCCAGGTTATGCACGATTTCTCTTATCACGAATAATATTTCCCCGAAATTAAATAATCATCTCACCTTTCCTTTTTTTTCAAATTTTTTCCTTTTGTCCCACTGATGTTACTGAAACCGTAACTGCTCTACCTCAGCCCCTCTGCTCCCTTTCCGCCCCTTTTTTTAGCCAAAATCACTCCTATTCGAGTTGAATTTCATTTAGATTGATTTGAAGACGTTTCATTTCTCTTTACAAAACATGCACGACTTCGTAGATCTGAGCAATATTCTTTGATAGAGTACTAAAAATTATTTCTTTTTTTCATATTTTTTCCATGAAAACAAAAACGTTCCGCTTCTGCTCCCTTTCCGCCCCTTTTTCCCGCATAAAATTACTCACACTTACTAAGATGTTCCTACGTCGATGTTTACTCATCCCCTCCCTACAGTTTATTCGCATAGGATTATCACATTCGCGCATAAACAAATTCCTCGGGATTTACGGTCGTTCCGTCCGTCACGCTGTTCCCACTTATCCTTTGCCCGTTCCCGCGTGAAATTCCCAACTCCATTCATTCATTTCAGATGTTGCTTTTATTACTATTTACTACTACAAGTGTAAGTGGCTGTCAATTGGGTTGCGAATGTTCGTCAAGTGTTGCGATTTGTCGTGGACAATCGCTACGAAGTGTACCAATACTACTCGATCCACGCACGAAACGATTGGATTTGTCAAATAATAAAATTACTCGACTGACGGGGGATGAACTCAGTTTGTATCCAAGTGAGTTTATTTTTATTTATCAAAATATGGTCTTTTTTTCAACTTCGATGAAATAATTGTTTTCAAAATCTTTTTTAACAATTATTCAAAATCTGAAGTTCTTTGAATTACGAGATTCATATTATCAACTTACGATGAAATAATTGATTTGACAATTTTATTTATGAATTTTCCGCAGCCCACCCACTTTGAGTTCCATTTTTAGGCCCCATCTAACTCTGCCAAGTCTCTAGGGCTTTGAAAAAGAGTTCCCGAAAAGGGTATCTTGCTGGAGAAAATTAGTCAGAAGCATGTCCTGCATGTCAATTAATGGATAAAAAGTATCATTTGCTAGACATAAGAAGAAAATTTGCATTGGGCTGGAGGAACTTTGTTCGATTGCGAGTTTTGATTAATCCAGCGAAAAAATTTATTTGATTCTTTATCTATTTTTATTTATATTGTGTATGCAGATGTGCCAAACAGTTCAAGAATGAAGGTCCAGTATTTTGAGGTAAAAGGAGAATGTGGTGAAAGAATTTGCGCAATCCATGAAAATTATCTTGAATCCTAAAACCAACAAATATGAATTTTTTCAAAAACTCAAAAGCTGCAGAAAATTTCCTTTACCGTATCTTCAGCATTTAATTACCGTAATCAACTTGACCATTGGACTTCTGAAAAGATAAATGTGTTGAATACAACATTTTAAAAGATCATTTTTTGACACTGATAGTTCCAATTAAAATTCTATTCATTAAAGCTCTAGAAATTTTCCAAGCTTTTTTCCACAATCAAGCAACTTTGTTTGATCATTCGAAAACCAGCTTCAGAAAATATTCCCTCTAAAGAATTCTTTCAAGAATTTTATTTTATTACCCCTTCGAAAGTGAAGAGAATTTTACGCGTTCTATTGTGACTAGATAAATAGGAATGATATACAGGAGTTTTATTATCTATGAAGTGCTCAAAACGATATCAGAAGACTTACTTCCTTCAAAAATTCATCCATAACTTTTAAATGAGAATTCGTTCCAGATAAATTTTTGTTCCCTACCAGTTCACCTCATTCGATCTCAGGTCGTCGTAAATACATCTCTTACCACTCATCTCTCGGGGATGGGCTCCTGATAGCTATCAAACGACCTGTTGTTCGGACAATTGCGTATCTAGCAGATCTATACCCATGTGTGTGCTGGATTAGTGTGCTGCTGTGCCATACTGAGCGACGATAAAATCTCATCTCCTAGGCAGTAATTCAGCTGCTGAATTGAGCGTACGGGTGTTAATGTCCGAATGGCATAATTTATGTACGTTGACATAAGTGCTTCGATCACCATTGAAAACAAATCTACGGAGATCTCTTGTTGGATAGGAGATTACCCAATCGGTAACGGGGTTGCCCAAGGGGATCTAGTTGAGCTCAGCACTCGAAAAAAGTTCCATAATATACTACAAATCTCTCGAGCAGGGCCATATCACCCAATCTGGTAACATTTAAGCGTTGCTCAAAATTTTACTTCCTGGGTAGGAAGAGTACTCATTTTTTATCTGGATAGCTCAACGCCGGGTAGTCTCAAACCAGTTATGAGATCTGAACCAAGAAACTCGTCGTCTGCTTATGTCAGAATTTTTCTTCATTGTAGGGCGATTACCGATTAGCTTAATTTCTAGAAAAAAAAAGTCCCAGCATTTTGGAGATCTCTAGGATAGGGCAATTACCCAATCACCTCGATTACCCGGGGGATTCTAGTTTTCTTGCAATTCCACGAAGACTTTCTGCTTGGAGATCCTCCGCTAGTCAGAGTGGTTACCCATTCTGGTATATGGGTTACCCATTTAGATTCCGGTCAAATCAAGAAAAATCTTAGATTTCTCAAGAAAAAGAATTAGAATTTTCCTGAGGGTGTCTACCCAATCTATGGTTTAGGTTACCCAAGAGACTTAAGTCTATCTCGAGAATTAAAATACTCGTTATCTTGGAGATCCCGGCTGGGTAGGCCGATTTCCCCATTAGGATCTGAGTTAACCATGGGGCTATGATACAATTCAGAATTCTACCTTGTCGGATAGAACTAGGAACGCTTACCGAATCCGGTACCTGAACTTCCCAAAGCTTTGCAGGGTTTCTTCTAGCTGGGGTAAGGCTCTTACCCAAGCTAAAGCATGGTTACCAAAGGCTCCAATCTAATCCATAGTTTTTGGTCTTTGGTAGGTACATCAATGCAAAATTTGGACGCAAGGGACTTTAACTCGCCAAGAATTTTCCTCCATAGGGAGCGATGCCAAACGGCATCTGGTTTACCCGGGGGTCCTAATCCAGCCCAGAGCTCCGAAGTAACTTCCAACAAACTCCATAAATGTGATGCTCATTAAAACTAATGACATGACCTAGGGTTGATGGGTATCGATTCAGCGAAAAGCGAGACGATTACGAAGTACAAAGGCATCGCGCCATTTTGTCACCTTCGCGATGCCGCCCCCGGATGACTCGTCAGGAAACACCTGCATTGTCTAGAAACGCATTCATGAGCCGCTCATATCTGTCATTCGAACTGCGGGTGATCGCTTGAGGATCGATCGCAATTTGCGTATAAGGAAAGGATATCCATGTCGGGAAACGGGAAAATCTTGGCATTTCTTTTCCAAACGCCTCAACACCATGAATACCGGCAAATAGGGAATTTTTAGCGATTTCTTCTCAAAAGCAGCAAATGAAAAAAATGAGAACGAAAAAATTGAGAATTCTGAAAAAAATTAAGAATTAAGCACTAATTTCCTGTCGAAACTCAAAATCCTCTTCTCGTGTGTCTTGATGATTAATGACAAAAAAGCATGTTGTTCTTCTTAGATTGCAGGTTGAAACCGAAAAAAATTATAAACTGGTTAAAAGTCGATTTCGAAAATTTCTAACTAAACCAACAATTTTCCACATGTATCTAAATTTATTCCTAATTCTTTCCTTTAATCTTTCTAAAGGTGACAAATACTTTATGACCTTTTGTAAAAATTACCTCTACTTACTGTCAGACGTAAAAACTTTTTTAAGAGTTTTTTTTTGCATTTTCTCTCACTTTGCAATGGCGCTTTTCCAAAAAAAAATTTATACTGAGCAAATTTACTTCCATTCAAGTTAGAATTTAGAAGTTATAACCTATGTGATGGGTGATATTAGGAAAAATTCAGCAATTTGTTTGGAACAATTTTTGGCTTTTTTGTTTGAGCAAATTCAATCGCTTGCAAATTTATCCTACCTTGAGGTCACTCAAGAGCATAAATACCCTTGAACTTGAAGATGAGCCCCGGTAAAGAAGATTTAAGAAGATTTAGTGGTCCTACGTGCTCAAGATAAGTAGCATCATGACCTTGAATGTTCAAAAAAGGTTGGCACAAAACTCAAAAAAACACTGAGAATGATTTTGGAAATAACATAATTTGCCTACTCTTAAATGAATTAATTACATTTTGTGGTTTAACAAGGGAAAAGATCCAAGTATAAGTTTTCCAATCGATATTTATAAAATAGTTTGAGAAACCCTCCAAATCACATTTCAATGCAGTTTTAGCGCCATCTTCGCCAAAATGGAGACCTTTTGCACTGAGAAATAACACAGTTCTAGTAATGCCGCTCATAACTTCCGAACCCATCTTCTAGACCTAAAGTCCAAATCAATTAGGACATTACACCCACACTGAGTCACTACTGACTCCGGGTGACAAATTCTCATTTCGTATTAATGACATCTGATTGGCACTTGTGCATCTCAAATGCGTACACAATCCTAATGCTGTTTGGAGCTGGTTGAGAGTATAAATACATTAATTTCTTAGTTAGTAACACAGGGTCGTAATAAAAGAGAGGGGAGGGGTCAATTATGGTGAAAAATACGGAAGATAAAAGCTTTTTTGAGAAGCCGTTGCAATTTCTATCACAAATGGTAATTTTTTAAATTTCATCAAATTTTTTTTCAAATAATCTGAGCAGAACAATGAAGAAGAACGCAACAACCTTGAGCCTTAGTTTATTTATTGCTATTTATTACCATTATTATTATTATTTTATCAATTTTCGTAAAAATTACGAGTTACCGCGCGCCTGTCCTTGGGTGATCGACGGAAAGTATACAAAATTTGTGAAAATCTCTTTTGAAGGCTGAGAACGACTTCCCATGTTCAAAACCTTCCCATACAGTATAGTATACTTTGATTACGATAATTACCGTAATCATTGGAACCAGTTTTCTCCCTCTAAAGCAATTAGAAGTAAAATTCTCAGGTTTTCCATAGAATTATCTAGAATTTTTGCAATTTCTCATTTTTCCGCGCTCTTTTCTCCCATAATTTTTCTTCCCTGAATCTTTACCGTTTAACACAATGCATATAGTTCTACATAGTCATAGTATACTTCCATTACGATAATTACCGTAATCATTGGGACCAGTTCTCTCCCTCCAAAGCAATAGAAGTAAAATTCTTAGGTTTATCATGAAATTTCCTAGAATTTCTGCAACTTTTCCATACAAATTTTCTTCCCATAATTTTACCGTTTCACACAGTGCATATATTTATACACAGTCACACAGTAGTCGATTAGCGACATGCATTAATGACCATCGCCTTCGTCTTGCGATGTGCGCGTTCGTTCACCTTGACATCACGTGCGAATTAGATTACTGCGCGATAGCACTGGTATATTCGGCAGTTAAATATTCAACATTATGATCCATAATGCGGTATTATGGTCATCTAGGCTTGACGTTAAGTTTTACGATCATTGGGTTCGCGAGGTAATCGTTTAAGGTAAGGATTCGGTCATCTACAGTGTGCGATTGTGGTGGAGATAAGGGAAGCAGACAAAATGTCGTTGATTTTAGGAAGGAGTTTTTGCGCTTGAAATAGAGATGTGAAGGTTCTAAGAGTGATACTAAGAGTAAAGTTTTTTTATCTCCTACTAAGCACTGTCAAGTCTCAATCAAACTTGGGTGAAAAGTTGAGAATTTATCCCCGTTTCGTTTTCATTCCTACAGTGTTAAAATAATCAGTCTTAGAAAAAATAAAGTTGCAGGGGGGATTAAACTGCTTCCAACCATGAACTTCTAGAATTTTATAAATACCCAAAAATGCACTTTTCCAATTCTTAACAGAAGAGTTTTTGTCCAAATTTTACCGCACATCACATTGTTTTTGCAGTAATGAACATTTTTCCACATTTTGACGCTTTGTTAGTAGTAGGTTGAAACTCGGTTACTAATCAAAATCAAATTTCTTCCTTGAAATCAAACCTAAAAACCAAATACCAGTTTCCAACATAGTGAATTTACCGTCTTAAGGGCCGGGCATACTTCACGCGATTTCAGTAGCGACGCGATTCGGCAATTCGCCAAAAGTCTTCACCAACATTAGCAATCTGCACATGCAGAGTGTGTATAACTTACGTGGATTGACAAAATACCCTATATTCTGCACATTTAAAACGTGCTTACAGTGAGTTATGACAATTGGAATATTGCCAAATCGCGTCGCGACTGATCGCGGAAAGTATGCTCGGCCCTTTACAGTCATTCCAGAAAAATTATTCATAATGTCAAAAAACTTGTCTTACTTTCTGGAGCCTTTTGTAAAATCTTGCTGAAAACTTCTTGCGACGAAAAGCAATTCCTGAGATAACATAAAAATAACTAAATAAATATATGTCTTTACCATCCTCTAAGGTTTAAATCTTCTATGAAGTTTCAGCTGTGTTGGAATTTCATCAGCACTAAACTATAAATCGAGACGTTATTGAGCCTTTGAAACGGGGAATCCTGATATTTCTAAATTTTCTGAATATTTTCTGCGAGTATTGATTGCTAAATAAGTGAATTCTTATAACGCTCCATTCAAAAAGCTGAATATTGTTTTTATGATAAACGATGCAATTGAGATCAGTTCAGTGAATTTATCCAATTTTTTTAAATTCTTTTAGTAAAAACTCGAACTGCGGTACCAAAACTCTTTCTATGTAAAAAAAATCTTTTGTCGGTACATCAAAAACCCTCAAACACTGACAATCCCTAACAAAGACATGCTCTTAAGTGTATCTAAAGGTCTTGCCCGCACGTCCTGCCCTTTCTGATTCAGCCCAAAATGTACAAAGACAATGTATCTTTGTCGCTGTCCATTGGAACATGAACTGATTCCATCTTATGGTGAGGGGAGGGGGACACACTACGCCCCAGTATTTAGTGTTACGTAACGCCAAATGACTACCTGTGGACAGGTGGTTGCGCTACGTACGCGCATGGTCACTCAAAGACAAAGCCGCAATTATGCCATCATTATCACAACGGACTGTACAGAACAGAATTTTTTCTTCTTAGGGGGGGGGGGAGCAGAGGGTTCAGACTTCGCCCACCAGAAATGCAAAAAAGTCCGTCAATCTTCTAACCAATCTATTTTCTTTTTTTTTGTGAGTTAGGCATAAAGGCGAACACCGCTGAGAATTTTTCGCGTCAGCTGAGTGGAGATGAATGTTCCCGATGGGAATGTCGGTGTCGTTCGTCTTGTCATCTGACCGGAGGGGACAAATTGAAATTTAAGGGCCCCTGTGAAGCAATGCGATGGCAAATCTCAGGAGGGTAGAAACTGAGGGGGTGGCATCCTTAGATCTGGCTAGAAATCTATAGTTTGTGTTCAAACGTTAGCACCCAATAAGCTTATTTCAAATGAAATAAAAAAGAGTATTGTGTGAATTGGTCAAAGCCAAGAAATGGAAATTCAGTAAAATTTCTACGTTTTTTCCCAAGAGTCAAATAGGTGCATCAAAAAATCCTTCGCTTTGATGTCAACCCTTTCGAATTCAACCGTTGTTCAGACTGATGGAAGTGTTATCAGCTCCAAACAGTAATCTGATATTCTTACTACCCCGTTAAAACGGGAAATTTTTGATATTTTCATTTTTTTTGAATCGCCTAATTCTGTGAAATATCTCACATCTTTTTGTATCTTCTTATAAATGTCTATTATTACAAAAACTGAAGAGTCGAAAAATTGCGGAAAGTACATGGAAAAGCTGTCTGTTGTAAAATCAAGAAAATTACTAACATGTTGCATTATTGACATCTTTAGTTAAATTTATTTTATATCTATGTTATTTATGACCTGCCGCTCTTGCTTGAAATTTTCTTACTTTTCTTACTCAATTTTTGTTGAAAGGAGCAAAATAGATATCTTCAATGATTCAAGTTTTCCATAGACTGATTATAAAGAAAAGTCGAATACTTTCAACAAATCCTACATTGATCAAATTTTCAAAGAAATGATTTTCCAAATGTGTTTATCTTCATTTTATTACTGATTTTTCAAGATTAGTTTTCGTAAATGATTTAAAAAACTAACTATGACTCTGTATGACTTCAAAAAGTGATTATTAGTGAATAACTTGAGACTTTTTTCTACATTTTACGTCTTTTTCAAAAAATACTTCTTTCTTTTCAGATCTGGAATTTCTCTCGCTTTCCAACAACTCGCTTACCCACATCGCAGCAGAAGCCTTTGCTTCTCTACCCCACCTAAAACATCTCGATCTCTCCAACAACGACCTCCTCTCCTCACCGAAGAACGTCTTCAGCAAGCTTAAAAATCTCGAGGTTCGTTCAATTCGCAATTATTCACTTGACAGCCACTGTCATGTCATTGAAATTTATTCATGGGGTGCTGTCAGTCAACGGTTACTGACAGTTCGAGGGTCAATTAATAATTTATGCCATCTGCCTCTGAGACACGTGCACTAATTGACTTACAATGTCTTCACCAAATTGTAATGACTGTTTACTTAGTCTTAGGCAGTAAGCCACTCAACCCAGTCTTTTCAGACGTTAATTCTGAGGAACAACGAGCTACAACTTTCGCCCGATTGCTTCCAAGGGCTCTCCTCGCTACGAGAGCTGGATTTGACCTCAAATAGGCTCACCTATTTGCCACCATCGGTCTTCAAAACGTTGAAGTCATTGCATACATTGAATTTGGGAAACAATAAGCTGCTAGCCTTGCCAGCTTCTCTGCTCTCAACAGTTCCACAACTGCGACATCTCGATGCTAGCCACAATTTATTGTCCGATGTAAGTTTTGCTAAGTTTGTTTGCAAAAAGTCGGGGAAATATATTGATTCCTCTTCAAAAAGGTTATGGAATATTTCACCAAGAATATTGAATGTATATGTGAGTAAGCCTTCCGAGGTTAGTAGTCTTTATTAGTAGCGGCCTAACGTTTCGAACAAATCGTCTTCTTCAGAGGCCTTCTCCACCGTCGGCGCGCCGATGTTAGGGCGGCCTAAGACTACTAACCTCGGAAGGCTTACTCACATACTAACACACTTTACTAACAATGCCGAGGTTCAAGAAAGAGGAAATTTGGAAATTAAAGTTATAATCAAATGATAAAAAAATCTCATAAAAGTAGTACTGTTGCCGAAACCACTTCCCAATGATCGAAGAAAATCAACAAAAAAGATGAGGGCTGCACTATATTAAATTTTTTGGAAAATTGATTATGCAAATGGAAAATGGAGATTGTGAAAAAAATCGAGACTCAAGTCTCCTAACTATGTTTTCTTTTGTCAAAAAGGAACTGATAGATAAAGTAATGATAAGAAAAGGTGAGATGAGGTTAATAAGAAGAGTGAATCGGTGAAAAAATGTTAGAGACCAGATTTACTTTCTAAAAGCTTTCAGATATATGCAAATTTCCTTTTAAGATAGAAAATCTCAGAAAGGCCATGACAACATTTTTATATTCTAGCAATAAGAGTAAACCACGATTTCTGGGCATTCATTTAGGTATTTGAAATTTATTTAGAAAAAAGGTGAAAAAATTATCGTAAAATTCGGCAGATTCAAGTCTATTTTGCAAAAATAAAATCAAATGAAAGAAGGAGTTCAATCTTTTTGAATCAAAGAAGAATTCTCAAAGAATTCACTTTCTCAAATCACAAAAGAATTCCGGATGAGCTTTTTTGAACTGAAGGAATTTCCGAAGAATTCAACTTCTTGAAACTCGAAGAGGAATTTATGAAAATTTAACTTTTCAGTCTACATCCATTTTACCGCGTCAAACATTCTTGGGATTTTTCAGCTCGAAGCAGGCCAGTTCTCGGCATTGCGCGATTTGGAGACGCTAAACATTGCTGACAACCTGATTAGTGATATCTACGACGGCGCATTTTTTGGAATGGACAATCTCACAGTGCTAAACATGACAAATAACCAGGTCTGTCGATTTTGGAGGGATGTTGATCGCAAAAAAAAATCAAATATCTATAGCTTGTGCGCCTACCTGGAAACACCTGGCCACTCCCATCGCTTCGGTCACTGGATTTGTCAGGAAATCCTTTTGTGGCTTTGGAGACTGCTTCGTTCGATACACTGCCATCCTTGCAGTTTTTGAATCTGTCAAATTGTCGAAATTTGAAGACAGTTCATGTGAGTCGAATTCCTTTAGATTTATATGTCCAAAAACCCCACTTTGAAAAGGTTTCTGGTAAAATTTTCAAAAATTTTTCCAAAATTATTTTGAGCAGGTCCATAGTTGCCGTGCCAGCGCTCTGCCGGAATCCAGACGCGCACCATGTTGGTTAATCGATATTCCAGCACGGCGCTGGCACGGGAACTCTATACGCGGCCAAAAAAATTTCCGCTGTAAAAGAACAATTCATCTCACAGAGATGGACTACAAAGTAAACAAAGTTTTCTTTTCTCAGATGGCCGCCTTCGTCTCGCTGTCGTCCCTACGAACCCTGGATCTCTCCAACTGCGCTCTGAATCACATTGCTCCCACAGCTTTCCAACCTTTCCCACCACTCACGATGCTCTCCTTGGCCGGAAATCGTCTACAAACACTTCCATCAACGATGCAGCTTTCTACCGTAGCCTCAATAGACCTCGAAAACAATCCTTGGGATTGTTCCTGTGAGCTCCGGGCACTTCATCTCCCCTCTACAGCCCTATGTGCTTCTCCCGAATCTCTGGTGGGAATACCGCTGAACGAACTCGACACATGCTCGATCCTGCATGGAATGGTTTTGCCCCTGATTCTCAGCGTTATCGTGTTATTTTTGATTGTTATTTTAATCTCAATTCTGCTCATGAAGAAACCAACGCCCCATAGGTCTTCGATCTATCATCATCAGGCCCTAATTAACGCCCTAACACGAAAAGAGTACGGTTTCGACCAAGTTCCCAGCCCTTACTGTACAAGTGACGAATCCCAAGACTCCGCTTACGAAAGTCCCACATCAGCATTTCTGCCCAAGCAGAAAGCCCCGCTACGACCGCCACCCTCCCATCTTCCACCAATGATCATGCCAGACGGTAACTACCGTATACTGACCAATTACCCTGTGCCAATGACGCAGTTGTAGATATAGGTATTGATTTTATTGATTTCACCATTCCAAATATCATTGCCGCCATTTCTTGCTATGACATTTGTTCGCATACGGGCCAATACTGAACAGGTTTCACTATTCAGCTTTCTTCCTTCAATAATATTGTTTGTACTTAATTTGTGTGTCGCAGTACCGTACACCGATGCTCTGTGATAGGTTGTGCATGTGCATAATTTCCGATGAAGTGATTTGTAACTATTGTACGCTTACAGTAAGCAAAAATCAATGTGAAAGCTTGTTTGCCGCATCTCACAGAGAAAAATGAGTAAAATAAGTATAATACAATGCTAACAGTACACTGACTTTGCATGGTGTACTGTGAATAAAAATTCTGAACATTTTATCAAGGAAAGAAGCATTTTTTGTAAAGGATCTATCTAATCTAATCTTATATATAAAGCTGAATGTCTGTCTGTATGTATGTCTGTATGTCTGTACGTATGTGCGGAATAGAAATTTTTATTTCTGAACCGATCGGGACCAAACTTGGCACACATACACTTCGGGGCAGGGAGCGTGTCATAGGCTACTTTTCGTTATCGATCGATATCGATTTTATCGATTTTTTGCAAAATTTGAGCTACGGGGCTGGGAGTTGGCACAGGGGGGTAATCGAGCATGCTGATTACGAATATAATAATGACAGGGCCGGGCGGAGCCGGGTTTGCCAGCTAGTCTAATATATAAAGAAACGTAAGCGCAATTCAAAAATGTGCAAATAGCGGGAAACCGCGTGGCGGTCCCGAAGCGAACGCTCTCCCGAATGGCACCTTTAGATTACTGGTCCACTAGTCTAATATACAAAGAAACGTAAGCGCAGTTCAAAAATCTGCAAATAGCGGGAAGCCGCGGTGCGGTCCCGAAGCGCGCGAATGCAGTCTAGCACCTTTAATTACTGCTTCACTTGTATCAAAAGTAACCTCAGAAGCATACGGTTTTTACCGCGGCAGGAGAAAGGAAACCATTTTTCCTAGCAATTCTGAGTCACACAGCCAGGTAAGCAACTTGCTGTGAACCCGCAGACAATGTATGCACTGCGACCATTGAAGCAGCGCGGCTTCGCTGCCCGTTTATAGTATGATAGATGAATGGTAATATAGTGCACTTTCATCGCCAACAACACTTGCGCGTTGAAAACTGGTAACGCGTTTCAAACTATCAGATCACTCCATAGTTCTGTTTACGCACAAGTGTTGTCAGCCTGCAACTTCCCAATGTACTCGAACCACAGCTAACCTTACGGATTTCGAAACCATACCCTCTAGGTAAACTGCAATTTATTATAATCAGGGTTTTGCTCACAAACTGTCAGACTTCCCGTGTTCATGTTGTCCGCTTAGAAAACAGAATTCCATGAAACAAATACTTACAATATTTTTTATTTACGAGATACATATAGACAAACACAAAGAACAGATGCACTATTATAAGTTCATTGGTGGTTTCACTTTCTAGGAAAGAAATTGAGGTATTATATATCCACTATATACACGGTACAATACAACCAGTGCAAAAAAAAATACAGCCATACAAAGTGTTATTTCTCAAACTCAAATTCATCTTCTTCTATCGCGTGGAGATCTCGATCTTGTTGATGACCTTCTTCGTCTATGTGGTGAGGGTGAAGATGTACTGCGTCTAAATAAGTTTCAAATCTCTCAATCAGTGAAAACAAGACATTTCGAAAAATCAAAAAACACATTTTTAAGATAACCTTCTTCTGCCGTTAGTCCCGTGACGGGATTTTCCTTTCGACTCATCACGATCGTAACTGCTGCTTTGGCCCTTGGCATCTTCTAAAAATAATAGCGAAAAATGTATGTATATGATTTGTGCTATCTAGCTTTGAAAACGGACAAAAAGATGGTTTTAAGCGTATCACTCATATGAACTTACCATCGCTGCTACCTGAATCCTTTCGTTGCCGACTTGACGATGCATTCTTGCGCTGACCCTTTGAGCCTCTCTCATCTAGAAAACTGAGTTAAGAAATATTTAGAGAGATATAGCAAGATTTGTCGTAACAAGCTATTACACCCTATAAAGCATAATTTTTACATAATGCCGATCTTCAGAAAATCGGTAGACATATGGAGGAAACAAGGGCATGAAATTTTGAAGAAATAATCATTACCTTCGTCATTACTGGAGTCATGACGTCGACGGCGTTCTTTCTCTTCTCTTTCCAATTTTCTCTGCTTGCGATCACGTTCTTCTGGAAATCATCAAAGAGTACACTGAGGGTGGAAGATAATCGGTAATGCAAGTTTTTGACAAGAAGAAGCAAGCAACTCACCCTTATCACTATCCGAGTCATGTCTGTGCCGATACCTGATAAATTGCTTAGGCTTAGTAAGAGAGTGGCTTATCTTTATCACCGTCGAGCCTCACTGGGTATGCATAAATACACCTCGTTGGCTCGTAAACTCAAGCGGGAAGTAGCCCGCTGGAGGAGCGCCAGCGAAAGCAGAATTGCTAGTTCGGGAAACTACAGAGAATTTTATAGGTACTGTAACCACAAGCTTAAACTTTCGGATCGTATACCTAATCTCAGGGAAGGTGACAACATCTTACGTGATGACATGCAAAAAGCAAACCTTTTCGCAGATTACTTTGAGAAGGTTTACATAAGTCATTCCCCCACTTCCGTGACACTGGCCCCTAAGACTGATAAAGTACTTGACTGGGTCGCCATCACTACCGAAGTGGTTTACAATAAGCTTCGCAAATTGCCAAAAAGGAACTCCACCTCTCCAGATGGGATATTGTACATTTTCCTAAAAAATGCCGCTCTGGGACTAGCTTCCCCCCTTACCATATTGTTCAACAGATTCCTCTTGAGGGGTGAGGTTCCGCAAATTTGGAAGCTTGGGCTTGTTAAGCCCATCCACAAGAAGGGGCTCAAAACATCCGTTGGCAACTACCGGCCAATATGTTTGACTTGCTCAGTATGTAAAGTTTTGGAAAGAATACTGTGTGAGGGTATTATCAAATTTTTGAGCCAAAATAAGCTACTTACTAAGGCGCAAAACGGTTTTCTTAGCAAGCGATCAACTATGTCTGCTCTCATGTCTTCGGTCCCACTTTGGCATAGAGAAGTGGATCGATGCCGATATGTCTCTGTATGTTTTGTAGACTACAGCAAAGCCTTTGACTCCATTTCTATACCGCTGCTTCTTGTTAAACTCCAAGCCTATGGCATCCAAGGCTCGTTGCTAAAATTTTTGAACTCCTTTCTCAATGGTAGACAACAATCAGTTACCATCAACGCCGTTAATTCACGGGTTTACAATACCACGAGTGGCGTACCTCAAGGGTCGGTTCTCGGCCCTTTGCTGTTTCCGTATACATAAATGACCTTCCTAGCGCTCTCCCAGTGGGCACTTTTTGTTCCATTTATGCTGATGATTCCAAAATCTACACCATAAATGATGCCGCTCTCTTACAAGAAGCCATAAACGCACTTGCTGCATGGTCGTCAACATAGCAGCTAACTATTTCCAAAGAGAAGACCTGTGTTATGACCTTCGGCAGAAACCACCCCATAGTTGAATTCACGCTTGAAGGGTCCATCTTACATCGTACCCGTTCAATTCGTGATTTGGGTGTTGAGTATACTGACAGCTTCGACTTCCACGCGTACATTTCAGAGATCGTTTCAAAGGCTAAATGCCGATCAAATCATATCCTCAAAGCATTTAGCAGTCGAGATCCCATACTGCTTTTCAAACTGTTTATTGCCTATGTTAGACCTTTACTCGAATACTGCTCTCCTCTGTGGTCTCCTCAAGACAGAGCACAGATTGAAGCTATAGAGAAAGTCCAGAAGTCCTTTACTTATAGAATTTCGCCAGAAAAGGCATATTTGAACTGTCTTATCTTGGCAGGATCAAAAAATTGCATACCCTTACACTGGAAGACAGAAGAATTCTTGCGGATTTCGCATTCATCTACAAGCTCACCACGAACGAACTTGACCTCAACCTTTTTGACATTTTTGAAGAACCACAGCGAGTAAATGTAACAAGAGGCCATCCTTTCAAAATTAAAGTCGATAGAGCCAGACTTTCTTCTTATAAGCAAAGCTTTATTGGACGTGTGCAGATGCCCTGGAATGGTCTGGACCCCCAGCTTTTAAAGTATTCCTCTGCGGCATCTTTCTGCTCTCATTTGCTTGAGTACCTTCACTCTCGTAACATGTTAGTATCATCTTAAGATCCCTCTAACCTATAATCTGTTTACTTGTTTTTTTTTCCCATGAGCTTTTTGTTTTTATTATTCTCATTCGGTAAATCGTTGCGTTTTTGAGTTGTCTTTCGTACCTGTCTTATTTGTTTACTGAATAAATAATCAATCAATCAATCAATCTCGACCATTCTTTACTTTCCTTTGGTCTTCTTCTAAAGTACATGTCATATACTCATCCAAAAACATGTTGGGGCAGAAATAGAAAATTACCAGTTATGCATGTTTTTGAGAACAAAAAGCAACTCACCCTTATCACTTTCCGGATCATGTCTGCGCCGGTCGCGATTATTTTTCTCTTTCTTTCTATCTTCTTCTGAAGTACATGATATACACTCATCCAAAAAAATATGAGAAGAAAAATTGTCAGTCAGACCGTTTTGTAAAAGAAAAAAACACTCACCCTTATCACTTCCCGAATCATGTCTGCGCCCTTCTCGACCATTCTTCTCTTTCTTTCTATCCTCTTCTAAAGTGCATGGTATGTAAAGAGTTCTTAATGAGAATATATCTCACCTCTATCACTAGAGTCGTGTCGTCTCTTTCTATCTACTCTCGATTTTCTCTCGTCCTCATCTACAAAAATGAAATTCAGTATGAAATCACAATGGGTGGGAGTACTATAGGAACAAAATATTGGGTTGTGTAATAAGTTCGTTCGCATTTTTTGTTTCAATTTTTTCTCAGTATTTAGCAAAGCATTTTGCATAGTGTTTGTATGCATTCGGAAGCTCTAAGTCTACTCTACCAAAATGCTGTTATTATATTCCGAGTTTTTGAAAACTGGAATAAAAAATTCGACAACAAACCGAAAAATCTGAAAGAGCGAAAATCCCTTTTTCGACAACTGTTTTACGCTATGTTTTGAATGGGCTTAAACGCTTGAGAAACAGTTCGAAAGTTTGCGAAGTGTATAAATAGAATACTATAGCTCCCGTAGATTACTTATAGGTGCTAATATTTTTCAAAAATTGATATTGTAAGCTCAAAAATTGGTATGTTTTTGATGTCTCTTCGGCGGTCAACGTTAAGCATCTGTAGGCACCTTTGAGGAAGAATGGTAGCCGAAATGGGTTTTGTAGTCAAAAATCCAGAATTTGGGGGACACAGAGCCCAGGTACGCGAGACAACGAACATCGCTGCGGCAAACCTTTGCTACCCGACTTTTGCAAAAATTGCATTGAATGGTCGTCAAAAGGAAGTGGGCAATCAACAGTCTCAGTAAGTGCATAAATGATCAGTTAGCTGTTTTTCTTGTTATCATGCTTTTTGAATAAATTTTAACAATATAACGGGAAAAGAAAGGGGAAAGATGCCGAAAATGGAACATTTGTCTCCTCAGATTTTTCGGTGTGTAGTCAGCTTTTTTGTACGACTTTTCAAAAATCGAAAATGCAATAACGGAATTTTGGTACATCAGACTTAGAGCTTCCGAACGCATACTAACATTTTGCCAAATGCTTTGCAAAATACTGAGAAAAAATTGAAACAAAGAATGCCAACAAACTTATTACACAACCTAATATAATGCGTACCTTTGACGCTACTCCCGTGATCATTTCGTCTTTTCTCGTGCATTGGAGGCTTCCGTTCACTTTCACCTAAAAATCAGCATAGCTACACAGCAGAAATGTGGTGTAATGCTGTGATAAACATTTTGATAATAAATACTAACAACCTTTTAAGAAAAAAGGTTGTTAGTATTTTGTCAACGACAACAAAACTGACTACTATAATTAAATATTCTCTCTCGAACCCAAATCCGGTATGAATATGAAGTCAAAAACAAAACAGAACAGACTTACTGCTACTGCTCGAATCACGGCGATGTTTCTTCTTCTTCGCATCTTCTTCATCATCTATAGGAAAAATATGAGATCAACAGAATAAACAAATAAACAATCTTACCTGAGCTGTCTGACTCTGACGACTCAGGTTCCTCCTTGATTTCCTTCTTAATTTCTCGATGCTTCTTCTTGTTGTGTTTCTTTTCTTTTCGCTTCTTCTTTTTCTTTTTGTCTTTATCTCCTCCAGTAACACCCATGAGCTTCCTATACAACAGCATGCTCCATATAGAACAGTTGGAGTTAATGAAAACTTACTTCATGAGCTTCTTCTTCTCTTTATCGCTCAAACCTTCAAGAAACATCTTCATTTGCTCGGCTTCTGTTGGTTCACCTTTCAGCGTGCTCACATCCTGATCTTCTCGAATGCCTAGAAAACAAATTCCAAAGTTAAGCATTAATGAATTGTAGAACTTTCGCAGACAAAATGTGTGGACACTTTTCTGGCAAGACAAAATTGACAGTATGAATCAATTAAAATGCAAAGACGAAAAAGCATACCGTTCAGAACGTTTCCTTTCAGACGCAGTCCATGTGTTTCCTTCATTTCTTCTGCCAACTGTGTTCGATCCATGAACTCTCCCTTCTCTCGACGATCTTCTTTCACTCGAGATGGCCCAACATCCTGGCGTTCTTTACGTAATTCCTTGATCAGATCAGATGGATTGTTGGCATCTAGAACGAGAATATCATAATATTGATGCAAAAATGGCAAAAAGTGTACATAAAAGAAGTACAAATGGAATTTCTTACATCCAGCATCTTCAAAGTTGCCGCTCATTCCATATAAAGGACATTCATTATCTGTATTCAAGTGGCCCCACTTGTGGCATTTACAGCATCGCACATTGCGCACCTGACATCAGATTATCAGTACTTAGTAAATGCTTGCGCTTCAGATGCGAATGTCCAAAGCTTACCTGGATACCAAAAGGCTGATCTTGGATCTGATCGTTATCCTTCGCCCACTCTTCACGAGGAGCATGATACTTTCGTTGCCATTCGAACTTGGGCTCTTCCTAAAGCTTAGAGTTAGTCTAGATGTAATGACTATTGGAAGAAGTTACCTTCGGCTCTTCCCTTCTAGCCATTCCTGCTGGAGCGTCATACATGAACGATAGACCCATTTTAGCCTTTTCATCTCCCAGCAATGCTCTACAAACACGGCATCAAACAGAAAATACAATAAAACAAAGGAAACTGTGATGAGTCTTTTAACTAGCTAAGCAAAAAACAAAATATGGATTGATGTACAGCAAAATATATAATATCCGTTGAACCAACTTGTTATTGAGCATTTCTTGTTCCTTCTCATACTGAACACGAAGATCTTCTTGTCTCTTGTCATCGATGGCTTTCTTTTGCCGCACTTCCCACACCTAAAGGCACAATTGCAGATTAAATTAACCGATAACCGATTAAAACTGCACCAAATTTTACAAAACTCACTCTTTTCAGATTCCACCATGCGCTAGGATGGAAGTCCTTCTTGGACATAAAATTTTGGAAACCTTTCCCCATCTTGACTGTGTTGGCTGTGAGTGGCTACTGTAAAAAAAGTTGGTTTCGGGCAGTCCGTACCAGAAAGGTTTTGAAAAGTAGAGTGGCTTACAGACCGTATCTTCAATGCAAACTACAGAAGATAAACTTTATTTCAACAAAAATGCACAATAACATCTAATAATATCTATCAACAATCAACAACAACAATACAATACAATACAATGTGGCGCAAGCTCAATGTTCGCAAGCTAAATCATAAGTAACAATGAGGCAATAACAACTAGGAAGATTTAAACACTTTTATAGTATTATCAGCGGATCCACTAGCAATCAAGGAATCTTTCCACGTACAACATAAAACTCTGTCTTCATGGCCGTAGAGATCAAAGAGTGAAGTTTTTGACGATCTATAAATTAGTGAAATCGTTGTGCCTGTAGAAAACAAAAGCATGTCATGAACTTAGAGTGCCAACTATTCAAAAAACAGACAAGCTTACGAAAAAATTGATTCAGAACCAAAACATAGGGCTTACCGTATATCCCACATCTTTAGAGACTTATCAAAGGATGAGCTGACAAAACATGATTCGTCATTCGGATTCCACTTCACACAGGTCACCCAACCTGTGTGACCAATAAAGGACTGTTTCACTACCGACCCATCTAAATTCAATTTAGAAGCAAATACGGAGAAGCTAAACTAGCCTTACCGTGACTCCTGAGATCATAAAGTCTCGGCACAGCATCAGTATTGCTGCTGATAACGAGTCCAGTTTTCTTGTTCACATCAATACTTGTGAATGCTTTGGTGCCACGTATTCGTGAGACCTCCCCAGCTTAAAATCATTTTTTGAAAAGAATGAGTCAATAAACCGTTGATAAATGCAGCAAGTTGTCTAAATTTAGAAGGCGAATTTCAAACATAAAAGACCAAAAAAGTGAATAAATAATATGATATTAGCATTTATCGTCCAATGAATTAATTGAAGATAGACAATGTAGGAAAGTGAACTTACCCAGTTGTAAATCCCAAAGACCAATGCTATGATCCCACGAAGCGGATACAACTTGATTATTGTTCCATGTGCACCATTTCAGACCAACAACAACATCTTTATGCCCCCCTAATGTTACCATTGGAACCTGAAAATAATCGTGAACATGCAAAGACTAGCTCAACAGTCGAGCAGCAAACCTTCGTTATAAAGTTCTCCTTTCGTTTCTTAGCATGCTTATCACTGTGACTGGCTTTGTCGAACACTGTATCCTCATCATCTGCAAATTACCTCATAAAATACAAAACAATAAACTATTGAAAAGAACAAAATTATGAACAGTACGCAGTAGCAATATGGTTTACAAATTAGTTACAACACGCAAAAATGGAAGCAGGATGTGTACCCGAAAAATCAAGATCACGCCTGAATATTGACAAAAACCGTAGAAAAAGAAGTTAGCGTGTGTTTAAATCCAACAATTTTATTAAAAAGGAAGTATCCAGTCCATTATTCACTTACTCTCTAGATTCCAAACCTTGATGTTTGAGTCAAACGCGCCAGAAACTAACCGAGTACACTCGGGATTGACATCTACACATTCAACGCTCCGCTCATGACCTCGAAAGACAACCTAAACGCTCCTTTGATGCAAAATTGAATAGTTTTCAGCTCAATACAACCTTTGGATTCAGAGCATTGTTCTCAACTTCAAATAACGTAAGAATCTGATTCTCACCAGCCACCACTATCCGTTCACCTTCGAGTTTATTAGAATCTGCAAAACGTAATAAACGTACAAAAGGAAGAAAAAGGAGACTACGGGAAAAAATGGCATACTTTTTTCCCTGGGAAATAAAACACCGCATTTGTAAGCACTTCCTTTATCTCGATGATTTTCGAGGATTTGCTTGCCTTCCTTATTGTTGATAATCAGTTCACCACTGTAGGTAGTGGAGAAAATACTAAAAGAAACTTGCAAGTCAAAACTGCACAACACAGAATAATAAAAAAGCTTAAACTGGAAAGCAAACAAGGAAAGAGTGAAGCATTACTTACTGCGAAGAAGAGATAGCCACAGAGGATACCCAGTCAGGAGCAGGGATATCAAGGAATGACTTCGGAGTTTCTTTACCAAGTATACATTCAATTTTCAAAACTGTTTCCTGCAAAAATAGAATTGGGAGAAAAACACGACAAATTTGGCAAAACTAACCGTATCAACATTATGCTCTTCGATAAACTCCGCTAAAGACGACCTTACAAAAGTTTCGCCGATAAGAAGCTCGAAACGTTTTTCGCTCCAGTTTTCTGCAGATGAGAAGAATTACGGAGCGAAGATTGAAGATATGAGACGAAATTTGCAAACCTTGAGCTGCTGCTATAGTTTTGTTTACTAGTGTATTTAGGTTTTCGTATGTGGCTGACACAGGAACATCAAAAACTGCAGAAGGGATGACTTTCAGTCTAAAGAACATTATAATGGAAAGTAAACGATGTTAAAAGCTTACAATAAGATTTACGTCTCATCCTCACTGAAGAAGGAAACCTGAACATGGCTCACATCTCCTGCTACCATTTCGTCCGAAGTTTCCTCCATTTCTGCAAAATTAATGTTTTTGGTAAAACCTGGATGAAAGAACCTTTTAGAAGGCAAAGCGAAAAAAAAACCGAAACGATCGAACATCATGACGCGAAAGCGATATTAAATGTGTGAAATTACGTCGTGCAGAAGGCTCTCCACGCGCTTTTGCAGAATTTAGCAAAGTTTACAATCAGAAGGTCCTTGTTCGGGTTTTTGATGAGTTGAACAGGGTAAGGCCTCGCACAGAGTTCACGCTGTTTGATCGTCGCGATTCAATCGCCGCGATTTCCATTCATTTTCATTTTACATTCAAAAATTTCGGGCTGGAAAAGTATCACAACCGAAATGCAAGATGGTCGGCATGCAATGAACTCGTAACCAGGGTCAAGCGTGCTGATGCGATCCGGGACCTTCAATTACGACCCCTCCCCCCCCCCCCCTCCCCCACCCCTTCCTCCACTTCCTTTTGAGGTTTAGAAAAAGATAACTGCTTACAAATTGGGAGATAATGCAAGTACAACTGCTGCTACCAAGTGCTTCACCACTCAAAAAACAAAATTCTACGTAGATTGGGTAAGTACAGTACAGTATTTTACAAATTGGCTGCTTATTGTGTTTGGGAAAATTTGAATGGAAAGGACATCATTTGACAAAGCAGAACATCGATTTTGATTTGAATGGTATTTAAGCTGTACTCTACCTATAAAAAATGAAATGAGATAACAACCAAGAAAAATTCAGCATTGAACGGTTCAATTTAGTTTCATCTTCTACACGTCCCTCGACTGGTCGGTCATTTTGACCGCTCTTCCCCACCCTACCGGACGTCGAACCCCTTGATCCAGGAAGCCCCGGAACAGCAGGATCAAGTATGTTCCATCCCAACAACGGGTGTGTGACGTTTCGCACGACCGCAATGCTTTCCACCAGGACCAGCGCCGCGCGCGACACATCCTGCGGCGGCTTTTGCCTAAGCAAAGCACGGGGAGGAAAGATTTGCGGCGTGCATTACATGTTAAGACAAGTCAAAATCAGGGAGACGCTGGAGACCGCCCGTGCGAAAAGACCGTCTCCCCCAACAACGACTGTTTACGCATCGCAGTATTCAACGTGAGACGCCTGCCAAACGAAGTCCAACTGCATGAACTGCAAGAAGCCCTGAAGAAAACGAGTCGATATACTGGCCCTAACCGATGGAGAGACGAATTCAGAAGAAGCTTGACACTTGCAATTGGCAAAGAGTAAGATCACTCACGTTAAAAGAATGTATCAGTTTGTTTGGGTGCCGCATATTGTAATAATATGAAAGGCAAGTAAATCATCATTAAATCATCAATTTAGTCACTATCTATTTTGTAGCAACTCTTTCTCTAGTGAAGATTAATAAACTTTTCTGCTGTTTATGAATGTTCGGCATCATCCTTTCATGATCCAGTGGTACCGAAAGATATAGACTATTGTTCTGGAGATTGGAACGTTTTAGACTTTAATGACAGTCCCGTGTTCTATCCCCGTACGCGACAATATTTTTTTTTCAGGGAGAAGAACGATATCTTTGAAGCGCTAAAATTGTTTTCGATTAAAAAGCTTATTTTTCATCTATTATACAGATTTTCCTGCGAAAGAAACCGTTTTAGCGCCTTCCAGGACGATGTCAAAAACGTGCATGAGCACGGTACTTTGAAAATTCGTAACTAAGGTCAGGGGAAGACTGAGAGGCTTAATGAATAGGCTGTGCAGTATTGTGCTCATGCTATCAATAGAAAAAGTTTCAGCCATTGAGGAGCAGTGAGCTCGAAAAAGTCTAGATGCGACTTTCGCAAATTTAGATGCGATCCTAGAAAGCAAAAACTGGGGTTTTAACTTGAAATTTTGTAACTCACCGGACACGTTATGAAACAGCCTGAAATTTTTATGATAGAAAGTAGGAGGATGGCGCTTCGTATTACTGCACAATTGCAACCAACAAGCTTCAATAGCTCCCGAGAAATTTAGATGCGATCCAGATACGCCCCCCTTACTTCAGTTTTTGTCGCCATCCATAAAACTACGAAAAATTCCATAGATCAAAAAAAAAATAAGACCAGATTTTGCACAAATGTAACAGAGCATCTACAAAGTACAAATAAGTTGTATGGATCCGTGAAAAACATTACAAAAAGATTCAAAATTATTGATGTTCATCGTCGGTGAAGATATTCGTTTTTGTCGAGTGTGTGAGACTTCAGGGAGGCTTCGGAAGCAAGATTTTTAGGCCACTCGGTACATTTGAAATGTAGTCAATAATATAACCTTCAAACGTGTTTTGGGCTTCTGGAAATGTTTTTTTGGATTTTCAGAGAAAATTTTAACTTTATTATTCTGAATTCTACTTTTTTAAAGATAATTTCATTGTAAAGAACATGTAATGATTATCTGCTTTTTGAATTCCTTCTAAGCTTACGGTTTTTAGCCAAACTACAACCTCTTACGATCCCGCCCCCCTGCCCACCTCAGGTACCCACTTTACGACAGTCGCATCACACGCTTGACCCTGCTCGTAACAGTTGTCTTGTCGCGATTCAATCATCGCGATTTCCATTCATTTTCATTTTACAATCAAAAATTTCGGGCTGGGAAAGTACCACAACCGAAATGCAAGCTGGTTGGCATGCAATGAACTCGTAACAGTTGTCTTGTCGCGATTGAATCGCGACGATCAAATCGCGTGAACTCTGCCCGAGGCCTAATGGAAAGCAGAATGTGCTTTTCAAACAAGCAGATGCAATGGTTGTTTCACTTTTGTACATATTACAGATGTGAAGTGCGCTTTCAGAAATGTCAAACCGTTCTGGGACGGCGGGCTACATTGCTTGTGTGCGTGAATGGGCACTTTACTCCATCGTGCCACTTCCCCCGTAAACGACAGACCATCCCTTTTTCGCGCGTGTCTGTCGGCATTTTTAGGTGAGTGGGCGGGGTTATCTGAAAGGGCGGGGTCATACCAAAGCCCTTTTTCCCACCCCTTTTCTAATTTATTGCAGCCGGGACTGCTGTTATTATATACATCTTTAAAGCCGTCCCGTCTTTCCTTGAATGCCCCAGTCATACTTCTCTGTCCATGTTAATTGAAGTTTGAACCACACAAAGCCTGTTGCAGCTGCAAATCCGTGTCACTTTGACTTATCTTATCTAGTTTTGACTTATCATAGTTCTTGTCGCAATCAAGAAGTTTCCTATTCTTGGTTTAATTCATTTATTTACACGCTATTACTCTGAGTGGTTGCCACTCGAGTGTTCTCAACGAACTTAATAATGATTCTTCTTTTATTAGCGCTTTTATTGTCAATTGCCGGCTTCTTCATTTACAAGGTATGCTGTTCAGATCTCCTATATAGAAACATCCCTTGAGTGATTTTGAGAGCTGTTTTGATCATCTTGAAAGGTACATAAGGTAACTGTCGCAAAGGATGGATTTGTTGCGACCGCAAGTACCGCGGAACTTCCTCTGCCTCCTGACATCACAGTAGCAGAGCTAAGTCCAAGAAGCTTGGGCCCTTACAAAACTCCCAAAACGCCTGAGAAAGTCTTGTCCGGACGGAATAGTCATATGATCCAAGCGCAACAAAAGGGTATCTATTTGCATCGAACCTTGAGGCGCGCTCCAGTGATGACAGTCGCACCGTTCGCTCCCGCTTTGCGACGATTTCGCCCTCGTCCGAGAATAAAGCTTGCAATGGACACTATACAGCACTCTATTTGGAAATTTTGGAATTTTCTTTGCATATGTGCACAGTTTATTCATACAAACTATTTTTGTTAATGTCGAAATTTTTCAGAGAAGAGTGCCACTGGAACCAGGTGAACGTAAAGAACCATCCACAAAAACAGCTCTTTCCAGACCACAATCCGAGGTGAGCATTTTTGTTATTAGAGCAGAGACTTAACCTAAATCATATGCTTTTATAAACTTCATAGATTTGCCTTGGCTCTTCTTATAAAATCCTTCTTAATCATAGGTAAAGGAGGAAGAAAAGAAGACTACTCCATCAGAAGAGCTTCGGCAGCAAGTAGCCGATTTGGCCGCTAGCACCCCTCAGGCACCGGGACCAGGTCTGGGTGATGCCGGCGCACCGTCATCGTCTTCTGGAAGCTCTGCAACAGGAGAGAAGTGAGTCAGCAAATTCAAAATTCACGTGAAAAATGAGGAGTCCAGGCAAAAACCATTTTTGCAAATTATTTGATGTAAGAAATAGAAATAGTCCCAAATAAAACTCTAAGCGTATACTTTCAGGCCTTCGAAGAAAAAGAAAAAAAGTAAGTTGAAAAAAAAATTCTACCCGGTATATTAAACTAATGTCTTGAATTCACTGCAGAGTCATCGAAGAGAAAGAAGAAGAGATCAAAAAGGAGTAGACATGCTCCGCCGTCAGGCGCTCCAGGCGGTTCCGAAGAAGATAAAAAGCCTTAATATCAATAAAGATGTTGCTATACTAGCCACTAGCAAGACACAAATCAAATGCTGGACTATTCATCAAGTTTATCAAATTCAGATTTATCAAATTCACGGTTGAATGTCACAGATTGTCATAAGAATGCCTACTAAAAAGTCTTGGCAAGAATTGTAACATCAGCTGAGCACGTTACAATTTTTCTACAAAACAATAAATTATCAAATCTACTTTTTCGACTTCTTATTTACGACTGCATCAAGTTGCCGTTGTATAGCTTGTTTTTGAGCTTTACCTCCCCATACGGAACGTATAACGGCTGCAATAAAATGGTCAAAACTCTATCGAATCAGGTTTCAATTCTTGAAGTGTGACGAAAACATAATCAGAATTGCGAAAAGTTAATAAGATCCAATTTTTGTCTGCGAAAAATATTCAACTCCATAAAGAAACCGTTTGTTAGTCAACGTACCAAGTTTAGCCTCCTCTCCTTTTCCCGTTGCATCAATCATTGCTTTTTGTGCTTTACAAACCTCTGCACCGTTTTTCAACATCGATGAAATCAATTCCTTGAATAAGAATATAAAGATAAAGAGCATTTGAAATTAAACTACAAAAAGCATATACGGCAATAAAAAAATGATGGGAAAATGGCTTACCTCAAATTCTTCATCCTTTTCATATATAACATCTACAAAGCCAAGATCCTTCCCTTCTTATGCTGTGATTATTGATGCAGTTGTCTGTAGTCTCAGCGCAGATGATCGTCCCACTATAGATGGCAAATAATGAGCTCCTTCCCAAGTTGGAACAATCCCCATTCGCGCTTGTAGAAATCCGATCTATAGTATTTGTAATAACATACAGAACAAAGTTCCAATGACAGAAATTCTCATCAAGCACGAGCTTTTTCTCTCAGGTTTTTTAAACTGCTAATGGTAATATGTACTCGTACTAGCGACCCCTAGGGTCTCGGGCAGATGCAATATTAGGTTTATAGCGGCTAAAAATATCTCAACATAAATTTCTTACTTGTTTTCTGAGAACATTTTGTTCTGAGACACCGCCTTCAAAGAACACATCTACAAAGAAAATATCTTACTGCTCTCACTGAAGAAAAAAACGGAGTTAAGCATTTACTCACGACGTATCCTCAAACTGCTCTACGTGCCACCTGAGGACAGTGAATTATAAGCACTGCCCCAAACGTACAAAATCTATTTTTCCCTGAACAATCGAAGTACACTCCGTGCCGCTTACAGGGCGATGTCTATTTGGACAAAGTGACCTGTGTGCCGCCCAAAGAACGTATTCATTGAACAAAAACTGCCTTCGGATCCCAAGAAAAGCCAGTGAAACTGAGTATTATAGGGATGCAGCTACTACCCAACAGCTGCTCGCGATGGAGGTTGGCCTAAGACAGCGAAACTCTAGCAGTGACCTCCACTCGCCGGAAGGAGCCGGTGTCCTCTTCCCCCTTTCCTCTTCCCCTTTTTGTATATATCTTGTGTAATAAATATTATAGTAAGTAACGTAACCCCGCTACACCTCAGGTAAAGGACTTGCAGACCTTTACCCTGACATGAAAGTCTCAGGGAGATATTTTTTGGAATTCTAAGATCAGTTTTTATTTTAATGAACTTTTGATATAGGATTTGACTTTTGATCCCCTCCCCCCCCCCCCCTTCGACAACCCTCCGATCGTATGGAAGGAGTCGCTCACCAAACGGATGAAAGAGAGTGTGTGAGTTTTATACTACTTTGTCTGCAATGAAAATATTTAATCCTTTTCAGAAAGAATAAAATAAAATAAAAATAACAATCCTGCAAACAGCCATTTTGTCAATTCTTTCTTTCCGAAGCGCTCGCATTTCCCGGCATCAGCGATCCCATGATCCGTGAATCCGTAAATTCAAAAGCGCATTTAGCAGCCGTGATCTGTGAGTCCGTGAACCCGTGATTGCACATCCGTGAATTTTTTTTTGAAAAAAAAATTGCTGTGATTCCATGATCCATAAGTCCGTGAAAACGTGATTCTGTGTATTTTTGTTGACTTATTCTTATTTTTCTCTTTTATATATTAGGTTGTTACATAAGTCTTGTTACACTTAACTTCTAACGGCGATAAGTCATACACCTCATAGTCTTTGCAGGACTCCAAGGTACCATTCGATAGAGCAAAGCAAGCTCTACAAGATGATCTGCAAAGGTTCGCACCAGCTCCTACCCACCGTAAGTTTGCACCCAAAATCTGAGTCGTATTGAAATTCAAAAAATCGCGAAAAATTCACATCTTTGTTCAAACAGATCCTACGGATCTCCAACTTGCTCACAAAAATTGCCCACTATATCAAATACTCAAATGTACGGTTGCTGTATTTTTTCCTCATTCAGAAATTGAGAAAAGGAAATTTTTTTAGTTTTTACAAAAATGAAGCTATGCTGTTTCTACTCAAGTAGCTGTATACTACAAGCCCTTAGAAGTATAACTGTAAATTTTCAGCTTTCCGAAAGATCTAGTTTTTCGAAAAATACCGAATTTAGCTTTTTTCACTCGGGTGTTCAATGCAAAATTAGGTAATTTTCGAAAACTAGGGCTTCTGGGAAGCTGAAAATTTACGGTCATACTTCTAAGGGCTTGCAGTATACAGCTACATAAAAAGAAACAACTTAGCTTCGTTTTTATAAAAACAAGAAAATTTTCGTTTTCTCGATTTCTAGATGAGGAAAAAATACAGCAACGGTACATATGAGTGTCTGATATAGTGTGCAATTTTCATGAGCAAGTTGGAGATTCGTAGGGTTTTTCTGAACAAAGATATGAATTTTTCGCGATTTTTTGAATTTCAGTACGACTCAGATTTTGGGTGCAAACTTACGGTGGGTCGGAGCTGGTGCGAACTTTTGCAGATCATCTTGTAGAGCTTGCTTTGCTCTATCGAATGGTACCTTGGAGTCCTGCAAAGACTATGAGGTGTATGACTTATCGCCGTTAGTTAAGTGTAACAAGACTTATGTAACAACCTAATACTTAGACAATGGACTTGTATGCAACTGCTAGTATGAAATTCAAAAAATGCAGTATTAGACCCAGAAAGATGAATCTGCTGGCCCACTGCAGATAACTTCTGCTGTGAAGTGTCGACCAATCGTAATGCTTCGAACTCTCGCGCAATTTAGGAAGATCCAGTGCTACTGTCCGCGCGCGGTGACCCCCTTTGGCGATAAAGCAACGCAGCTGTAGGTTGTAAGCATATGACCTCGCAGCAAATTACTACTATTTGTGCGCTATGACCTTACAGCCACGACTAGTGCAAATGCTCGCGTCTGCTTTGTGTCGCGATAAACCTTAGAACAGGATCGATAATTGCGTAACCTAATCTGTTACAATTATATGTATGGCCAGTAACAACAGTTGCACGATATGATCCCTTAGCGTCTGTTCTTATGCAACTTATACGGTCAACAACAACAGTCGTGCCCGCTACGCCGCTGAGTATACAAGAATTTGAAGTTTGCTTCTGTGTTATCTAAAATGGCAAAGACTGTGGGGATGAAGGGTCTGCAGTTCGCTTTCCTGAGCTTGTAGCGGGAATAAGAGGTACGACAAGACATGGTTATAAATAGATTTATTACTTAAGATATATACATGATAGAAAAAGGGGGAAGGGGTAAGGGATGGAGCTGAGCCGTGACGACAGCCAGCCACCTCCTGGTCGTCGTCCTAGGAGAGACCCGACTCTCCTTTTTATAACAGACTCAGCTTCCACATCACCTGCTTCACGCAGGCTCGAGCGTGGGAGTCATGGATAACAGATGATCTCCCAACATCTCCATTCCTACGAAAAGTTCGATCTCGAGCTTGTGTCGAAGCTTCGCGAGTAATTGTCACTTTGATTATTTTCAGACAAGTCTTCAAAGAACACAGCGTGGTAAGAAGAAGGGGACTTCCAAGTTGTCCAGGAGGTCTTCTCTGAGTTCATCCAAGGGAACTCACAGCCACGTCCATTTCCATAATGAGGAGCTTGAATCCATGGTGGCTCGCCTAGAGCGCCAGCTGGGCCAAGCGCAACGCCAGTTGGATGAAAATGCGGACATTGTTTGCGCGGATGAAAATGTTAGTGGAAAATATTGCAATTTTATGTATGAATTACAGAAAAATTTTTTCAGGCAAAAATTCAGCAACTGGAGTGCAAAATCGTCCGCTTAGAGTGCCAGTTAGAGGCGACGCAGCGCTAGCTGACTGAAAACGAGGACACTGTCTCGTCTCGCACGCACTTTTGGACGACGCTGGATACTGTACGCGAGCGACTTCGCAAAAAGGAGGAGGAACTCGGGCGGCTACAGTACCAGTTGAGAAGGCGCAGTACGTGAATGACGGAAATCTACGGTCTGAGCGGATAATTAACATGGAGTTGAGAAAGGTAAGAGAAAAAAATTTTTTTTCAAATTTATGTGAAATGTATAAAATAAATTTCCAGGAAAATGCAGACATGGGAGAAGATACAGCGTGCTTACGCACGCTGATATCCATCACGACCGGTAGGCGTCCAGGAAATCACCTGGAAGAGACATTGCTCTTCGAGGAGCAAAGCCTTTCCATGCTAGTCAGCGGGGAGGTGAAAAGGACTGTATTCAAGATCCAGAACGATCAAACAGTACTTCTGGAGATCAAAAGCATTTTTGGACCTACATCGCACTGTAAGTATGATCTCTTTTAAAAAAATATATATATCGATAATTGTGCTTAATTATAGGCAGCCCCCACGATTGCAGCGGTTACCTTTTTAAAGCATGGTCAGGCGATGGGGAGAAATGGAAAGCCGACCGTGCGACCGTCTGTCTGCAATTCGGTGATTTATATGTATCAAGTACGGGTGCAAGACACCCGTTGGGAAGTCTTTCGAAGAGAGGTTGCGCCGCGGGACCACGAGCTCCGTTGACATAAAAAATGTCTCAGGAGGAAGAAAACTGACGAGACAGATCAACGAAATCGCAGGGAGACACTGAAGGTTTAGTATTTTGCAGTGTTTCTATCCAGTATCGTGGAATTGTTGAATAAAATTTCCATTTCGCAATTTTCTTGTTTCAACATAATAAATTGAGAAGAGTGAGCGTTTAAAATGAAAATTGAAGAGATGTAAAAAGTAGGGAAAAGGAGGAAAGAATTAGAAAAATCGAAATTTCTAAAAGTCTGACTGCAGTTTGTATTCCACTAATTTTTCCCGATACCGTAACCTTCGTTGTGATGTCGTTGGGCAAATGTCAGAAGGAAACCGATTATAGAATCATTAATCACGCTGTAAGAAGCGCAGCATATCTCTTGCCTCCCTTAGTATCCCACCAATCAGTAAAGCGCCCAGCTGCGCGCTTTACTGATTGGTGGGATACTAAGGGGATACGGCTGGCGCCAACGCAAGTTTTCGCGCGTATATGCCAACCGTTTTCGCGGGGGGATGCTACCGAGGATGCAAGAAGCGCTATACTATGTCATGGCGCTATTATAACAGGAGTGTAGTAGCAAAAGCGTTTCTGAGTCATGAGGTCAGCGCTAACGCTATTTTATTGCGCATATGTAAATGGTTAGGCCTCTTTTCTCCGGTATTCGCAAACGAGTCCAATCAAAAATGCTTAAAATAAAGCTATTACCCAACAGCTGCTCGCGATGGAGGTTGACCTAAGAAAGCGAACCACTGGCAGTGACCTACACCGGCAGGCAGGAGCCGATGCCCTCTTCCCCCTTTCCTCTTCCCCTTAATAAGTATTTTAGTAGGTAATGTAACCCTGCACACCTCGGGTAAAGGACCTGCAGATCTTTATCTTGAAGAATCTACTCACAACATATTCTCAAATTGCTCTACCAATCACCTAAGGACCATCAATTATAAGAACTGCCCCAAAGGTACAAAAATCTGTTTCCCTGCCTAACTGAAATCAAATTAACTCAATATGATTTCGCAAAAACAAAAAAAACATTTTTTTACCTGTTGCGTAGGTACTCATGCACTAAAGGCTGCAAAGTATAATACAATGAAAAGTTGGAATGAATGTATAATAGTAAGGAGCGAAAAATTTGATTGTCCTCATCTAATTTCGTACTTGGAAGCTCACAGGATTCTACACAATCTGCAAGTTTTGAGTTATAGTTGATTCGTTGACCGCACGGACTGGACATCACTGCGGAGCACGCGCCGCGGGGTAAAACGCTTGCCCAGTACAAATCCACCATTGTACAAGTAGTGCACTCCTAGCAATACAGCCGCGCCGCGCGTGGTTTGCAGCGTTTGAGCAGTCCGTACTGTCAACGAATCGACGATACCTCGTGTAATAATGACTGGCCTCATGAACAGGTGCTTGTATGTTTTTTCCCTTGAAAAATCACGAAAATCACATAGTGCAGATTGGAATGGTGCTTAAATCACAACCTCAAAGAATTCAACTCAAAGAATAGAAGACTACATGGTTATAGGAAATTGTGGATTTTGTTAATATGCAGTCGAAATTTAAAGCAGTAAAAAATCATAAAGTTTGTTTTTCCACAAACATCTCTTCAAAAGGAAACACCTATTTTTTTGCGGGCACCTGATTACTCTAATACTGAATAATATGCTACCTTAACTAATTAAAATGAAACAGATAAAAATAAATATAAAATAGGAATCTATGGTCCGGAACGCACTATTAGTTGATGATTCCACAATTCAAAAGCCAAAGTTCAAATGGTGAAAATTTCGATGATTTTGCATCAGAATAAAGAATCCAATTTTATCAGAAAAAAATTCAAAAATTCTTTGAAGTGAAAACAATCCCTCTTTTCGTTTTTATGCACCGCGAACCCCATCTCTGCCTATACAATGGTTCTTTTTGGTTCCCTGTTCATATGCCTAAGAGAAACTCACTTTTGCATCTTTGTGAGCAAATCGAAGGTCGCATGACGTTGCGATTTCTGAGCCACCACCCAAACAGTGTCCATGAAGTCGTGCGACGCTCACCTACAGAAATGTTACACTTATTGAGTGACTCAATAGTGGCTCGCTTTTCTATTTTCATTTGTTCTATCTTATTCAATAACTATAACACTCAGGAAGCACCAGAAAAACCTTAAACAAATATGATACCAACTATTCCAAAACATCGCTTAGATAAATGTTCCATGTGAATAAAAAAACAAAGTAAAATTGTAGAGGAAACTAGTGAATCATTACATGACCACAGTAATATGTGGAACTTACAAGTGGAGATGTTCGAATATTTCGCAGAGTACCAAACATGAACTGATAGTAGGCGCTTCCAATTACTGGATCGCTCACCTAACAATATACAATCAAAATGTTGATTAGTAGCAGAAATAGCAAAAAATACCTCCTTTACGAAGCCAAGATCGGCGCCGCTACAGAATGACTTCCCTACTCCTTCCACGACTAATACGCCCGGCTCAGAAAGTGAAGCTAATTCCTGGAAAAAATTTGATGATTTGTGCAGATTTTTTAAAATAAGGTTTTTGAGCAACGTGAATACGATACCTCCGATCTTTTCCTCAACTGCACCATCATTTCTCCCGACAAGCAATTACTCTTTTCCGGGCGATTTAACCGTAACCTCGCGACAGCCCCGCTGACAGCCAAATCGACCGCACCTCCTTTCCATTTTTCCAAAGCATTCGCAAGGTCAGCATTTGATGTCTGAAAAACTTCTTTTTCTATGAAATTCTTCTGGCACACAACTCACGTAAGTTGATGCAGCTCTAGGTGATATTTCACCAAAGAAAACCGGTCTCAACCGTAAGATGCAGCGAGACATGGAGTCTGTCTGGAGCACTCTGCAAACAAAACAAAAAAATCAAAAAATGTGGTATTTTCGATGAAATTATAAAAACTGCAGCGCACTGGAAAGAGTATGACTGAAAATACGAAGCGACACAGTGTAAAGTGCACTCTGATGCACTTTGGTCAAGTACAAAACAAAATTTTGGTGCAAAAACCTCGTTTTATTCTGGAGAAAGGATTTTTATTGGATTCTCTGACTAGAAGGAAAACTGTAAGGATAAGCAAGATTTCGATTCCCCGCTAGAGTCAAAAAGTCAAAAGAATCCTCGACAGTGACAAACTTCATATTTGACGCATTTCAAAACGAAATGAACAGGTGCACCCGTCTCTCCACAAACAAATCAAAAGGTGCAAGTGTCCGAAACGTTGATTGAGCGATGACATTGGAACGACGTCAGTATGCTAGAACCAGATTTTATAATTTTCCTTGGAGAAGTTTCTATTTTTTGCCCTAAGCTGCAAACTTTCGGATTGTCTGTTCGAATTGCACACTTCTATGGCAGATAATTTGATTCGAGGCAAAAATTCTACAGCTTTCTATATTGTTCTCTTTTCTTGTAAGTTTTGTCTCCTGGGTGATTATGTGTTAACGCGACAACTCTCTCACCGTTATCTACAACTGATATCTCCTTATAGGGTTGGAGGCAGGACCTAAGCAGATTTAGGTGTTCTGAGTTTTTTATGTGAAAACTCACTGAGAGACTCTGATTGAGGCATTACCCAGATAGCAGCATAGATAATTCATTTATGTCCAAGTCAACTTTTAACACTTGCCCAGTACCGTATCCCTCCCAAGGGGGCTAATCGATGCCTCGAGTACGGTACTACATGTCAAAAGAGTTGACAAGCATCCAGGTTTGCTTGGCTATCCAATCTTTACAAACAATGCAATCAAATGTAAGCCTTTATGAACTGGCATTCTGTTATTGTTGTTTTAGTGAACAGCCAACAAATTAGCGGAAAGCAACTACTAACTCGCTTGCCTCCTTATAAATCTGCAGATTCGAGCAGCACTTTCCCTCTTAGGCTTTTCTTGGCGCTAAATCAGTCAAGGGCTTCGCTCCTGCGCTCATCTGTGGGCAGTTAATTGCTTCCACCAAATTTGCCCACGCATCGTTTTTCGCGTTCCAAAAAACTACTTGCGATGACTGCAAAGTCTTCAAAGCGCAATTTTTGGATTCAGCGCACGCATGTGGTCTGAGGGTCGTAAAAAATCCAAGTTCGAAGTCTACCGGGATAATCCTTTAATGCGGTGAATGATAATGGAGTATCCAGATTACTTTTTTGCAGATTGTAGGATTTTCCCACCTCTCCGAAGAAATGACTTCCTTGAATGCCAGGTAAGTGAAGAGATTTTTGTTCCCAGAAGATTCTTGTTATAAGAAAACGCAATATTTTCGCAGTAGACATTAGGCTACTCAGTACTCTTAGTTTTATCGAGGTTTTACTTCTTCTAATTGAATTGGGGCAAAATCCAATTGGACACACCTATGAACAGGCAGGAGCGAACAAACGCCACTCTATTTTGACACAGATCACAAAATTTCTCTATGTTTATTCGGGTACCAATCGCAGTTTACAATAAGCGAACAATTAGAAGTTTGGGGAAAAAAGTATATAAGGTAAGCTTATGACAATAAGAATCTCGAGAGCAACACTAATGCAAATGTCAATATGTTGTAACTTCACAACTTCTTCATCCTCTGCAAAGAACGATAATTTATCTATATGTATAAATATAAGTAGGAACGTATCTGGTGAACTAGAAACTGGTATCTGTAAAAAGCAGAAGATTCCGCGATTCTCAAATACAAGGACTAAAACTGTTCAATAAATATCAAGAAAAACTGTATCAATAGTGAACCGACACGAAGAGCACTAACACTGTGACGCATTATTGCATCTTACAAAATCGACTTCACAACCATCACTATGCATAAAAATGTTGACGGTGTTCGGTGTGCATTACTGCACAAATTATGCTTGTATCTATGGGCTTTTCATACAAGAGCGGATTGCACGCTAGAGCGATTCAGAACATAAAATTTGGGCCCTGGACGAGACATAAGCTTGGCTCTTATGTAATAATTTATAAATATCTCATAATTAAGGAGACTTCTTCAACTCAAAATCCTCCAAATGGATCCTGTCCTTGTTGAGGGTGCGGTTGACTTGCTGGCATTTGGCTGGTCATTTGGCCGGGCATTTGTCCGTAACCCATCGCACCTCCACCGTACATATTATAACCGGGAGCTTGTTGTGTTGGGAACACTAGAAACAAAACCAATGATAAAATGATAACAGGTAATGAATGAAAGGCAACAATAAGTAATGGTAATGAATGGCCACAAAATCTTCGAACGTACTTTGAGGCTGCATTTGCCACTGTGGCATTTGGCCGCCATAGGGTTGAGGGGCGTATTGACCATAAGGATTGGTGTATTGAGGTGCACCATAAGTGGGCATTTGTGGTGCCATCGAAGGTGCAGGCATCGCGGACGATACCGGTGCTTGTTGTTGTCCCTGTTGTGGTTGGCCACCCCATTGCACAGGGCGTCTAGAAAAATAAAGCATAGCAAAAATCTAATAACCTTTCCAATGCAACACAATCTAATAAAATTCAGTAATTTCGGCGTAAAAACGGTGCAAATAGCCTCACCCTTGGTTATTTCCACTTATTGTCAGGTTATCAGCCAAATTCGATAGAGCTGAATCAATGTCTCCGCCAATCTTTCCTTGTCCCTGTTGAGTGGTAGCAAAAGGATCAAAGGTACCTAAAGCAATGATTTTTCTAGATTCATCGTTAAAGCAGAAAAGAAATTTCTGATGTTCCGAACGACCCGTTCCTAAACACCATCAAGCAATGCACATACACGCATACAGAACTTATGAACAGTCTACGAAAAAAAAAACAAGATACAGCGACAGGACAACGACGATTACAGAAGTTAAGCACACCTTGCTGTTGGGGAGGGAAACCTGTAAAATGCATATTATTCAATCTATATAAATTCTTAATTTATAAAGCAAAAGGAAAGCCCATAGTGAATGTTATTTCTGTACAGCTAACTTTATCTGAATACCGTGACTAGGCTTTAGAATATAATGTGGCGAAAAAAATGTAGCCTTTACTTAAAAAACGAGGTAGGAGCTTTTGCTGGTAGAATTACAAAAAAGTCCCAAACGAAAATCAAAACAGCTCAGTTTTTACTGAAATTCTCCAAACAAATTAGGATCAGAATGAAACTTTTGCTTGTTCAAATGATCCTACTCTGTTGTGCAGGTGGCTCAGCACTTTGCTCATTTCCACCAGCCGGCGGCATAGAAGTTGGGAAAGGATTTTGGCCCTGTGGGAAGGTACTCTGACTCTGTTGTGGGAACGAACTTTGTCCTTGGGAATAGCTCCCATCGGTGTGAGCTGAACAATACTTGTTATGACAAATTAAATGACGGAAATTATGATAGCAATGAATATACAATGAAAGGATATTATACTTACAAAACGGCGTATTCTCATAAATTCCTTTGGGCGCAGGAGGAATTGGTGGTGGAGCAGCAGTGGTTACAGGAGGTTGAGCTGTTGGTTGCTGTTGCTGCTGTTGTTGTTGCTGTGGGAATGATATAGGCGATTCAGTTGCTAAAAAAAAACAATTCTCTGTACAATATTACGTAAAAGAATGTATGTAAAATGAGCAAAAAATTCAAATAGTCTTCTCACATGACGAGTTTTGAGATGTAAAGCGCTGCAGATCCTGCTGGAAAGGTGCTCCAACTCCTTGGAATTGTGAGACTAGAAATAGCAATGTTGACGAAGTTTCTCATCTCGTGACCAGATGAGTAACTTGCCTGGCTCCTGTTTCACGACACCAAATGGATTGATTTGAGCACTAGCTTGTTCGTTTCCAGACGTCATGGAGCCGCCCTGGGACTCTGCATTGCTGGTAAATCCAGAGTCGCTTGTTGGAGCAGCGCCAAACCCTTGCTGCCACATGGCGGCCACGGAAGGTTGGGGAGGTTGTTGAGAGTTATCCGGGATGAGGAATGGGTTCGTGTCATTGCCTCCATCTCAACCAAGTTTTAGGCGTAAGATTAAAGCAACAAAATGGGGTTATTATGAAAACTCCGAACATCAAGATACGAACACAGAGAACACAAGACAAATTACGAAATGACATTTCAAAATTTACACCGCTTAGCATGGTGTTTAGAACCGTCGTCGTTGTACCGGACATTGTCGGTGAGAATGTGAGAAATTCACATCCACAAAAAAGCCAAGCAACTACGTGAAAATTTTGACAAAGCGAAGTACCTCCATTACTTGGCTTAGCGCTGAAAGCCCGTGTGAAATCCGGTTGAAATCCATTTGCATTTCCTACACTTTCAGGACGCTGTGACACTAGCGGTTGAGCCATGACTAGAATTTCACAGCGCTATGATTTAGTCCTCCACAACATGCGATAATCACGAAATAAATGCATGCAACATACACCACACTCGTTTGAACATTTTCGAACCAGCTTTGCTAGCAGAGGTTGTCCAACGATACACAGAAAGACATTTAAAATAATTAAAAAAACGCCTTACCTCCGCCTACTGAAGGATATCCACTAGGACCAGTCACATTCGAACTAGTTGGGACTGTGAATTGGGCAAATGGATTTGTGGCATCGATGAGGGGTTGTGAAGGCTGGAAATGCAATTTCTCCTTGTAAATGGCTTTGGCTCAACAAAACAAAGCTGAAAGGTGTATGCAAGGGATACTCAAAAAAAATTTGGCAAAGAAACAACACAACAGTAGTACAATCTCATGAAATATCTCACAGTGACCCTCCCTTCACAAGATGCATGCAAAGTGCCAAATTTGAATGAAATAGCTAACAAACGGTTTGTGCATACCGGAAAAAGTGCAACACGGTAAAAATCACAACAACAAATATAGAAAGAACTTTGCTTGATGTTCATGATAGCTAAGACAACTCTGTTTCGGACCGTATTCAAATAGATAGATAGATTACTGAACTACTTCAAAACTTTGGGAGACAGACTAGCCTGGGCAGGTGTGTTGAACAGATCAAGCAAATCCTCATTTGTTTTTTTAGGAACCTCGGAGTTGGATGATGCATCAGCCGCAAACGGATTAAAGCTGGAGGTTGCAGCCGAGGACGAGCTGCCTGCAAAAAATGTATATTATAGGGTGAAGCTTGGAAGTGTATGACTATATTCAAGATCTGCACTAGACGCATGGAAGGACAGTGACATCATCAACTGGGATGCAATATCGGAAACAATTCAAGTCGCGCTCCTTGCGAGTCAAATGACGTGTGGTCGCTCATAGTGAGCTATTATGCACGTCACCATGGCAAAGTTTTTTGGAAGCAATCGTCTTACACCACAGCATACGTTTAGTCTCAAAGACATCAAACTAACAATATGACAAGTCGAGAAAGAATGAGCATAAGAAAAAAATTCATAAAACTCACCGACAGACCCTTGTTGACGTTTTTGTTCTTCAAATTGCCGCAGCCTCTCCTTCTCCAACTCAATATACCTCATCCGCTCCACATCACCAACATGCGGCTGCATTTGAAATCCACCAGCCATCGAGAAATTGCTCAGTTGGGCTTGGGCAGATGGGTACTCAAAACGATTCGATAAATCTCCAAATTATTCAAGAAGGCACGATATACCTGAGATTGCACTGGAGCTCTTCCGCCTTCTAAATGGATGAGATGGGCCTCCAAGGCTTCTAGCAAACTAGCGGGTGCTCTCGTCAAATCAGGAATCTCTCCTCGATCTATTCCAACTGATTCGGCTACGCGCAAAAATTCCGACACTTTGTCCAAGCGAGTCTGCAAAACATTCGGTTACTACGTTATGAGTGTTGACATGGAAATTAAGCCACATGTGCTCAAATCGCTTTCTTTGAGTGGATTTGCGCAAAGGTATGTTCATGAATCGACTTTGTGTTTTGTAACTTAAGTTCCGTATCAGACAGACTATCAGTCTCCGATAAGATAAAGCGCAATTATGACGTGAATATGGCACAAAAAGAATCCTTGGAATAATCTATTTCCTTCTTCCCGTTCTTATAGGTCATGAACTTACCAAAAATCCTTTGTATGTGTCGAGCGCGTCACGACACTGCTTCTTATTCATGTCAAAGTACTTCTCTAGCAGATTTATGATCCCATCATTATAGCAAGCAAAAAGTCGAATGAGATCACGAAACAGTAGAATGAACGAGCAATTGATGACACCATTATTCAACTCGCTAGCGGAAACCTGAATCAAACAAAAAACGTGTTTGCAGTATTCATGAGTGCTGTGTACCAAATGCAAAAAGATTCCACAGGATAAAATTACAACGCTGCTTCCATCAAGAAACGTGACTGTAACGAATGAAAAAGTTTCAGCAACGATTCGCCCTCTCGAAATGAAAAAAAATCATGGAGTGCACAAATTCTTTGGAGCAAAAAAAAATCGTCAATGATGGGACAAGCAACTCAAGTATTTTTGAGACAAAGGATAATATAAAATCCGTATAATGTAAAACAATAAGGTTCTAAAATTGGAAATCACTTGCCTGGAACTCAAGAAGTGCATCTATCTGATTCTGGAGAATAGGCAGAGTCTTGAGAAGCTGGAATATTCGTGTGAATTTCCATAACCACTTTTTTGAGTAAGTGACGACCCTCTACCTTATCGGTATGCATGGTCCGCAGTAGACCATCTTCTCTTCCTCGCTTCACTTTACAGAAGTCGAATGCGCAAACTCGATAGGTGGCGATTTTTTCACCAATGTACTTGCCATATTTTCTTACATGCTGTGACATATCATATCCTGGAAGGAAAAGTTGCACCAAAAGTCACACACAAGCTTTTTTCACTGATAACTAACACCAAGAACTAGTTTCTCAAAGCAGCTATGTGAAAATGAAAATCTACGCAAGTGTAGACTAACCTGAAGTACTATTCTTATCAAGAAAGTTTCCGAGGTTGAATGTTGTATTACATGAAGCTAGATATTGCGAAAACCTCTGAAAAGAATATCACTAGTCAACTTTAGTCCATTATATTTGTGCTAACCTCGTTTCCATAGCACATGATGTTGTGAATTGTGATTAGTGCTTTGTAGACTACAGTCCAATTTGGATGCTGAGTTCGTTCTATCAGCAAATTTGCCATAGAAGGTATTGACACATTCGGTTCGTTCGTGCAATGCAGCAAATCTGGAATCGCATAAGCGGATATGAGCAGCAGAAGATTGCTCGCTGAATACGCAAAGCTATGGGAATTTTTTGAAGAGACAAAATAGATATTGCAGCTGGATATGACATCATCTTGACCGCCTATCGCTCAGAATTATCACAATCTTCACACCTAGAGTACACCATTCTTTTTCCCAATTCTTTTCTCCAGTAGACTTTCACATTTCTGCGATGTGGCGATGAATGATGATCTCAAACAAGGCTATCAATCAAAATGGACTCGAAAACAACAACAGCTATTAGTTACGAGGGACGCATCGCAACAGTGATATGGAACTTCCATCAATAAAAGATTTCTCACTAGTAAAGCAAATTTGAAGCGGAAAGTTTGATGAGCAATTTGCGGTGCTTGTACATACTAAACAAGAAGCTCAAATATACTAGTTGAAGAAGCAATAAACCTTGCTTGAAGGTAGCAAACAAAAAAACGAAATCCACTAATGCAAGAGGAATAGAATTCATTAGTCAGGAGGTAATTTCATTGAAGCTGGCTAAGGTCGCTCATGTAAAAAGTACAGGAAAAGGGAGTACCAAGAACTAGATTAGCATGCAACAACAGCGACATAATTCAATGAGTTAAGAAACAAGTCATTCTGAAGTCTCAATTTCTGAAATGACTTTTGAGAATTTGAAAACAATTTAGAATCTCTCTCTCAAATGCATGAGATGCTGAGCCATCAAAATGCAAAACGGTCTCAACAATGTGCGCAGAAGCAAATTCAAATTTATGAGCCGCACAGATTGCACCCAGCTTTAGAAACACACAGAAGCTCTAGCTTGTGATCGGATTTCCAGCATTTGGCAAGATGGACATCCGTTCAACAAAAAAATTCTTTTCTACCTAGTAATAAGCAAACAGAATCATGAAGAAAAAAGAAACGGAATTGGGTTGAAAAAACTTACAGTCGAGATGCTTCTTTTTTGGAGCCATCAACTCTTCCGTAGTTGCCTTGCATATTGTTTTCCCAAGTTGACTACCGGCTAATGAGTGTTTGGCTGCTGTTAGCCTAAAAGACACTGGATAAAATTAAATTTCCAACAGCATTCAGGCCTTGAAACACAGAGGGAGATACCTGACGTTTCTAAAAGTATTTGCTCAAACAAGCGCATTGTGCGCACATACATTGAGTGCATTATAAAAAAAATATGACCGGCAAATGAAAAAGAAAATCGAGTTATCGAAAGCGCGCTCAGCACCATTCATCGAAAAAACTGAAAGTCAAGATTGATGATCACTCGCTTCGTTGAAAAGTCTAATAGGCTAAGGCTGACGTTGATGACCGCAAAGAAGGTTTATTATCCTACTTTTGAGAGCATTATGGCAAGTATAGAAAGAAGCTAGATAACTCAAAATCCAGAGGGTCACGAATATGATAAGCCCGTAGTTTCGACCGACGCGTATCAGGTAAATTCACGATAAATGGCTTGCGATCACAACAAATCATGCCAAAAAAAGATATAGCCAAGAAAAGGAGGACTTCATAATGCAACTACTCAGGTAAACATTTTATGAAAAAACATAGGATATGGCACGTTGATAGCAATTCTGAAGTAACTTCATTGATCAACATTGGAAAAAAGTGAGAAAAAAAGCTGAAACACCACTGCCTAATCAAGCGCGCAATTTTCGTAAATCATATGGAAGTTGAAAACATAAACATAATCTGATACTGCTTGTGTTTATTATCTGCGTAAACGCGACCATATAACAAGCGATGAAGTGGCTATTTTTATGGATGGCTTGACAAACAAGGCAGTTAATAAACTAAGACTCCGCAACAATCTACATAAATTATTGCTATTCCCTTGAGAAAGCTCGACCGCACTTTTAATGTGAGCGAACATGCTAAAATGAAGTTTCTAGCAGGAAATTCGCTTTATGGATCAGAGAAAAACAAATTCAAAAAAGGAAATGTTGGATGCCTTTATGATATAAATCAAAGAAATTGTATAAATGAGCGAAATCTTACCGGAAGAACATAGTTATTGGCAGAGTTTTGAAACACAGTGAAAGGAAATAATGAAGATAAGCAATGAGAAGATTGGTATAGAAAAAATTAATCATGAAAAGCAACTGATAAAACATGACACACCTATCTGAGATGGTTTGCCCGCCAGTGGTAAAAGGCATAGGCTGATGAAGAGCTTTCTCGATAGTCTGCATGTTTATCGATCAAACGCCTTTATCTGGAACAGAAAGTGATTAGCCTTATCTGTCACGAGTGAAACAAACCAGCAATTTCGCGACTCGGAAACACGGATCGCAGATAATAAAGTAGGATAATGATTCATAAACGCGGCCTTAAAAAGAGTATAAAGGGTCCGGTGGATGGCGATGCGGACTGCGCTTCGCTTTAGCTAGCTCTGTACCTCTAATCCTTCGCGCAAAACGAAAAGCTCGAAGAAAACATCGAAAAGGCGGAGACGGAGATGCTATGGATTTATCGACGTTCCGCGAAGCAGAGACAGCCACTCGGACACGCAAGCGCGCAAATCGATGTGCCTACTAGCTGTTTGGCAAGTGTCTCAACTAAAAGTTGCCCCGTATTCCCACAGAGGTAGATGAGAGACTCTAAAAGGGTCGAAGAGGGAGAACGTAAAGCCGAAGCACCCTACGCTAATTTCGGGGGTGCGATGCGGGTGCAATGCGCGATGTGTGACTGGATAATTCGTTAATTCTACAACGAGCGTGCCGAAATGCGCTCGGGAATGCGCACGAATGAACAGAGAGATCGACACATCGAAAGCTAATACGAACGTGATTGGAAAGATCAGAGGGAGATTTTGATATAGAAACTTCAGCTTCAAAGTTATGAACGTAAACTAATTGTGAAGAAGATGAACATTCCACATTGAATTTACAAAGAAATGATATAGAATTCCATAAATGAAATCACATTAAAAAATGGACAACTTCATTCTTAACTTACAAAACATCGAACCGTACGGAAAGAAGATTTAACAAAAGATGTGTTTTACACTTTTCTTTAGATAATTTTGTTTGAAAAATCTTAAACCCCTCGCCCTACCGGAAAGTCCCGGAGAAGACCTAGAAATGAAACTCTGACTAAGAGAAGGAATAACACGGAATTTTCATGAAAGATGGTATATCTTGATATGAAATGATTTCCGGAGAGACCAAAACTTGCAGCTCAATCTATCTTCTTTGATCTTTATCTTTATCTTTATTGATACGTGCAAGGACACGTAAGTAAATGAAAGAACAGGAATAACCTGTAAGGCAAGAGACCGACGGATAGGGGTAGAAAATTGAGGAAAGAAGAATAACAGTAAGAACAACAACAACAGGAAAACAACAAAACAAATAGGAACATAAAATGCTGACCAACTACAAAATATCAATGAACAGGAAGTAGGATGACTTGTAAGGTGATGAACCAAGAAGTTTTGAAGAGTGTCTTGTGTCAATAACTTATTTAGGTCAGGCAAAATTCTTGAAGCAGAAAACTTTGCTCTCAAAAGTGTTTCAGCTTTTAGGGCTCTGATTTTCAACACTCCATCTCTCGTTCTAGAGTAATAAACATCAAAAAACTTTGACAAATCAGTCTTACATCTCCCAGTTAAAATTTTGACAGCCATCGAGAGGTCGAAATTTCTCCTTCGGAGTGCTAAGCTACGAAGCGACAGCGATTTAGAACGTTCTTGATTCGCAGGTATAAGAGAATAATTTGGATCCAGGACTCTCAAAAATAGCTTTCGAGTGAAGTTATTTTGAACGCCTTCACTGGCGGCAATATCACGGACCCTATACGGTGAAGTAAGTAACAGTGCCGAATTGAAAAATAGGGCAAAAAATAAAAAAAATATACATTTTATAAGCCCTAAACAAAACACTGGGGTTAGAGGTACGAATCTCTTCAGCCGGTAAGTTGAGCTGTTCCTTCTGGGACGCAGAGGACAGCTCGTCATCTTCAAGTAAAACGTTTTCGGGTTTTCTGTATAATACTGAGTTCGAAAAGGATAAATACTGTTTTCTTTGCGTGCATCCAAAAAATAGATCTAATATCCATAATTTATGCTGTTTTCTATAGTATAACTTTAAATCTGACAACTTGGTTTGTCAAAAATTGTTAAGTTCCATAAGACCATAAAGTTGGAATATATAACTATTAATTTCCCAATCTGAAAGAAGCAATTCAGAAACTGCTAGCTGTAATGTGTGCACTCTTTGCAATTCTACATGGCTAAAAAATAGTAAAATTAGATATTTAAAGTAGGTTGCTTGTGCAACAAAATTAGGCAAATAACAGAAATAATTTTGCATGAGTGTGCGAGACTAGCTAATTAGCTCTAAAAAAGTCCTCGGGATACTCTTCCACTCCGAAACCAAGGACAAGCAAGAAATTACGCAAAAGTGCATGAAAGTTGAAAAAACCTGTCAGTTTTGCTACAGTAGCTACCGATGACAACCAATAGGTCACGTGAGTGAGTGAGTACAAATCAAAGAATGGTTTCCTGAGAATGATGACTAACACCTTGCCACTCAATCAAGCAATCAAGTATTTTTGAACACGATAACGACATTGTTATTGATTGAGAGACTGTGCTAAACAAACAATGACTATAATCACCGTTCACCGCATTTTACCGCACGAGTCTTGTTCGCATCGAAGTTTTCTGGACATTTCTTAGAGATACCTATTTCTTGAAGTCAGTTAATTACTAACTCTGAATAAGCCCTCTTTTTATTTCAAACTGAGCCATAGTCAGTTAAGCCCTATGATCTATGTAAACCCTAGATTTACAGTTCCCTACTACGAAGTTTCCAGTTGCCCCTCTCAAGCAAATGACCGCCAAAAGCGACAATAGCTCAAAAATCCACTTTCATGCAAGAAAAAAGTCTTAAGCCTTGCCAGAAAAAAAAGACCTTGTAAGGCGAAGTTGATTAAGCACAACGGACTTCCTAGGATGAAACTGTGGGAGTAGAGGATAAATCTGCAAGAGCCAAATGACGGAATGAAATAGGCGTCAGCAACTTGCCTCTCCCAACGCGTTGTTCGTGACTGCAGACCGACTGTCATGTCGGCTGCAATCCCCACGCCTAATCCTCCAATGATTCAACATCCAGAAATTGCTCTTGTCACGAGCTGCATTTGCTTCCTTTTGATCCTCTGCTTTCTCCTTTTGCTAGGAAATATTAAAAGTTATAGCACCAGCAAATCATCTTGTTCAAAGGCTGCCTGTGATTATCTATGCGTTAGATGGTTCTGCCTTCATTCAGCGAGAATTTTGGATGACTTTTGCGACAAATCTTGTTTATCTTATATATAAAGCTGAATGTCTGTTTGTATGTCTGTATGTCTGTCTGTATGTCTGTCTGTATGTCTGTATGTACGTATGTTCCGAATAGAAAATTCCATTTCTGAACCGATCGGGACCAAACTTGGCACACATACACTTTGGGCCCCGGCGAGTGTCATAGGCTACTTTTCGTCATCGATCGATATCGATTTTATCGATTTTTATCGATTTTTTTGCTGAGTTCACCTACGGGGCTGGGAGTTGGCACAGGGGGGTAATCGAGCATGGGGATTCCGAATACAATATTGGTTTTCAGGATTATCGATTACTTTTATCGATTTTATCGATTTTTTTGCAAAGTTTGAGCTACGGGGGTGGGAGTTGGCACAGGGGGGTAATCGAGCATGGGGATTCCGAATACAATATTGGTTTTCAGGATTATCGATTACTTTTATCGATTTTATCGATTTTTTTGCAAAGTTTGAGCTACGGGGCTGAGAGTTCGCACAGGGGGGTAGTCGAGCATGGGGATTCCGAATACAATATTGGTTTTCGGGATTATCGGTTACTTTTATCGATTTTATCGATTTTTTTGCAAAGTTTGAGCTAGGGGGCTGGGAGTTGGCGCAGGGGGGTAATCGAGCATGCTGATCATCCCCAAGGGGGGTGATCAGCATGCTCGATTACACCCCTGTGCCAAATTCCAGCCCCCTAGCTCAAATTTTCAAAAAATCGATAAAATCGATAAAAGTAATGGACGATCTTGAAAACTAATATTGTATTCGTAATCTGCATGCTCGATTACTCCCCTGTGCAAACTCCCAGCCCCGCAGGTCAAACTTTACAAAAAAAATCGATAAAATCGATAAAAGTAATGGACGATCCTGAAAACTAATATTGTGTTCGTAATCAGCATGCTCGATTACCCCCCTGTGCAAACTCCCAGCCCCGCAGGTCAAAATTTACAAAAAAATCGATAAAATCAATAAAAGTAATCGATAATTCTGAAAACTAATATTGTGTTCGGAATCCCCATGCTCACTTCCCCCCTGTGCCAACTCCTAGCCCTGTAGGTGAACTCTGCAAAAAAGATCGATAAAAATCGGTATAATCGACATCGATCGATAACGAAAAGTGGACTGTGACACCCGCCGGGGCCCGAAGTGTATGTGTGCAAAGTTTGGTCCGGATCGGTTCAGAAATGGAATTTTCTATTTGGAACATACGTACACGGGTCTAGCTGGCAGGCCCGGCGGAGCCGGGCAAGCCAGCTAGTAACAAATATAGAACAACGAAGATAAGGTAGCTAGCGGAAGTGACATCGAACAGTAAAAGTAAGTGGAAGTGAATCACTCCAACTTTCGTCAGGGATTCATTCCAGAAGAATTCTTCTGTGCCAAAAAGTGGGAAAATCCTAACTTGTGAAATCTGGCCTCATCTGTTCTTTATTGACTCACACTTGTTTTATTGTGTTGTAACCATGGATGACCTTTTCATTGATCTAGTTATAACAATCATTATCTAGCGCACAACATAGTCTCTATAAGTGTGACGCATCTCACATTGGTAATTGGCACTCTTTCTTCTCTCGTCATTTTCTGTGCAAATTCATTTTCTAATTATTTATATCTTTCAGTTCTCGCTTTCAACCGGGTGTTGGAGTGAGGTGGGTTTGTGTGGTGTATGCGCTACAGCCGATTGGCAACTTGCCAAGAAGAGGCTGACGAAGCCAGTCGGCTACTTCCACTCATGGTTGATTCTGAGGTAAGATTTTTTTCTGTTGATCGCATGCGACGATAAAGTTTAACTTCCTTTCGTTTTCCACGCGAGTTTTAGGAGGTTCAATTTGTCAAATTTGAAGTTTTCCTTGCGAATATATCGCAAAGTATTGAATCTGAAGTTACTTGATTGTGGGTCATTGAAGGCT